AGATTAGAACACCTCCTGTGGAATTGCCAACACCTATTAGTTGGGTGTTTCAAAGATGGCTGCTCAGTTTGGCCCCTCCTGGGCTCTGCTGCTCCCCCAGCCCCCCATAACTCTCTCTCTTAGGAGTGGAACACCGCTGTGAGGAGGGCATGCTTATATTAGGCACTTCTGGTATGCCAGGCCTTGGGTTTGGTGTTTCATGTGTGTGATTTCATTAAATCTTCACAGTCACGTTCTCCGATGGCCATCAAGGCCCCACCTGACCTGGCCACGTTCCTTCTGAACTCACTCCCACGCTCTTCCTCGCCATCTGTTCCAGCCACAGAGAACACACCCTATAGAGGAGGTGGTACCGCTATCATTCCCTTTTACAGATGAGCAAACTGAGATTCAGAGAGGACAAATGAATTGCTCAGTCACAGAGATGGTCATTGGTGAAGCCAAACAGAATTCAAACCCAGAAGTGTCAAATGCCAGAATTCACAGGCTTAACCCATTCACAGTTCTAGCGCATAGGTATCCACACTCCTCCCACTGGACCACACCCAGCACAGCTTCCAAGCCATGCAGAAGTGGGGAGAATGCATCAGCTTGCCCTTAGAATTTGGCACAACAGAGCATCATCTCAGCCTTTGTCCCCTTCCATTAGCCCGTCCAGCTTGGCAGAGAGGCAGGGAGGCAACGTGGCTAAGCCCTCAGGGAGCCATAGCCATATTGCCAGGGCCTGGATCTTGGCATTGCTACTTACTGGCTGGGCAAGATGCTTAACTTCTCCATGCCCCCCCCTTTCCCTGGCTACGAAATGGGTTTTATTTTTTTTTGAGACAAAGTCTTGCTCTGTGGCCAGGCTGGAGTGCAGTGGCGTGATCTTGGCTCACTGCAACCTCTGCCTCCTAGGTTCAAGCGATTCTCCTGCCTCAGCCTCCCGAGTAGCTGGGACTACAGACATGAGCCACCACACCCAGATAATTCTTGCATTTTTAGTAGAGACAGGCTTTCACCATGATGGCCAGGGTGGTCTCAATCTCTTGACCTCATGATCTACTCACCTCGGCCTTCCAAAGTGCTAGGATTACAGGCGTAAACCACCACACCTGGCCTCCAAAATGGGGATTATACAGTGCTCACTATGCAGAATCACCATGAGGATGTGTGGGAAATAGAAAAGTTCCTTTTTAAAGTTTCCTTTCTTGTTAAAGAATAAATCATAAGTGTGCTAATAACTCTTTGTTAAGCCCTATCCTATGTAGCTGTTAGACATGCCATGCTTACAGGCACGTAGTACATTCAATGTACTTTAACCAAGATATCTGTGCTGGACGTGCTCACAGGCATGTCCCAGCTCTCCATGGCTTTTACCTGATTAGAAAAGTTTTAAGTTGTTAGCCAATGGGGTTTTAGTTTAGATTGTGAGGTCTGGCTCCAGCCAACAGAGATCAGATACAGCAGTAAGGATGACCCCAAATGCCTAAGAGATAAATTTGTGTTTTCCTTTGTTCTTGTACTCTTGTGGCATGATGGCTAGTGAAGATACCCTTCCTGCAGTCCAGGAAGTAAAAATTGCATTGCTGAAAGATGCTTTGTGTCAGTGCTGATTTTTCTTTGCAGCACTGAGCATCTATTTCCAACAGGATGTAAGGCGTGAGTGATGAAGCCGCACTGAGTTGGGTGCCCTCTCCCTGGGCTGCAGGCTGACCGCCTTTGGAGGTTGGGCCAGTGCCTCTGAGCTGTCTTTGACCTTGACGCCCCTCTTGCTCCCGCAAGGCCACTCTACCCCCACGTCATCCTCCATGGGAGCGCTGCAGCCGCTGCGGGGGTCCTCCTGCCTGCCAGCCTCCTGACCTGCCAACCTGACAAGTGCTTGTGCAGTCTTGGCCTAGTGGAGCAGGACTCCTCTGAGCTCTGCCCAGCTCCATGGCGGGCTGCCTGGAGGAGGAGAATGAATATTCATGGAGCTTTTCCCAGGTGCCTGGTTTTCTTCCTCACAAGGGTGGAAGGTGGTCACAATGACACGGAGGCTTGGAGTGGTCGGCCCAGGGGTTGGGCTGCTGGGCCTTTCGAAAAGCAGATTCCAAGCTGGCGTTCCTCTGGAGCAGAAGTTTGGGAGGTCAGAGAAAGTGCATTGCAAAGACGTCCCAGGTTTAGAAGGCAAAGCACAATTCTCCCGAGGACTTTTGGAGCTGACCTGACACCTAGCGGCCATAAGTGGGAATTACTCTACCTCTGGAGGCTCCCAGGGCCGCAGAGGCAGCTGGGCTTATTTGAAAGTCAAGGGTGGCCTGGAGGGTTTGGGTGGCAGGTGGGGGAGATTTTAACTTCCCTGTAATCTCCATCATTTCCGCAAAGCCACCCAAACAAAAATAAGATTTGATAAGAACAATTACTGCCTTTTCCATTTTATTCAAAAGATGAGAACAAAATCATCTTGAAAAAATGTGTTTTTATTGATCCATAAACATTACACATTTGTAACTTGTTCATTACACATTTTGATATTTCATAGCCTCTCCTTGCCCACACATAACCCTCAGGGTTCCACCTGGGCACCAACATTGATGGGACACTCAGTTACAGGCAGGGAACTGGAGAATTATATGGATTATAACAGGTTTAAAAGACAGGATCCCATCCCATTACAGGTGGCTTACACCTGTAATCCCAGAACTTTGAGAGGCTGAGGCAGGCAGGTCACTTGAGGCAGGAGTTCAAGACCAACCTGGCCAACATAGGGAAATCCCATCTCCACTAAAAATATAAAAAATTAGCTGCGTATGGTGGCGCAAGCCTGTAATCCCAGTTTCTTGGGAGGATGAGGCACGAGAATCGCTTGAATCTGGAGGTTGCAATTAGGTGTGTTCGTGCCACTGCCCTCCAGCCTGGGTGACAGAGCGAGACTCTGTGTCAAAAAAAGGAGACATGATCCCAGACGTCAAGGACTTCACTTTATGTGGGGAGATAGAGCAGATATCTACAAGAGTACCCTTTATTTATTTACAGAGTTTCACTCTTCTCGCCCAGGCTGGAGTGCAATGGTGCAATCTCAGCTCACTGCAACCTCTGCCTCCCGGGTTCAAGTGAAAGTGATTCTCCTGCTTCAGCCTCTTGAGTAGATGGGATTACAGGTGCCTGCCACCATGCCCAGCTAATTTTTGCATTTTTAGTAGAGACAGGGTTTCACCATCTTGGCCAGGCTGGTCTCGAACTCCTGACCTCAGATAATCTGCCTGCCTCGGCTTCCCAAAGTGCTGAGATTACAGGCTTGAGCCACTGCACCCAGCCTTTGCGTTTCTTTATATTCCCTTCATCATCCTCATTTTGACTTTGAGCCCCTAATCCACCAAGTTGATGGAAATTCCATTTCAGGAACTTGCTCAGGGTGGTACCAGTGAGCCTCCGTGGTGTCCACTTGTCAGGAGAGGCCCTCTGCCTGTTGGCCACTAGTCCACACTGATTATTGCTGGGGGTCTTTTGTTCCAGCCCAGGGGGTCCCTGCAAGCTGCTGCTCTGCTACCCTCATGCTATGTTTGGGGCAAGGGAGCTCTGCCAGGCTGGGAGCCCAGACCAACAGTCAGCCTCCAGGGCACAGCTCAGCTACTTGCTCTGAGGCTCTGCCAGACTTGAAGGCCTCCCTCTCCTCCCAGCAGTGCTGGGGAAGCTCCTCTGAGGGATGCTGTGATCCACCCTTCTCACCCTTCTCTGTTCTGTTCTCCCCAGTAAGCTTAGGCTGGGGGACATGGGCATTAGGGAGGGATGAGTCTTGCTAGAAACTTCTACCCTGCACCTAAACCTCACAAAGGCTAAGATTTTTTTTTTTTTTCTTTGAGACAAAATCTTGCTCTGTCACCCAGCCTGGAGTGCAGTGGCGAAATCTTGGCTCACTGCAACCTCTGCCTCCTGGGGTCAAGCAGTTCTCTGCCTCAGCCTCCTGAGTAGCTGGGATTACAGACACCCGCCACCATTCCTGGTTAATTTTTGTATTTTACTAGAGACGGGGGGCTCATCATCTTGGTCAGGCTGGTCTTGAACTCCTGACCTCGTGATCCACCTGCCTCAGCCAACCAAACTGCTGGGATTATAGGCGTGAACCACCACTACCGGCAAGGCTAAGATTTTAATAAGGAAGCGAATGGGGGGAAATGTAGCACATGAATGGGGACATAAATTATTTCCAATATTCTGCTGCATGTGCAGAGGGGTCTTGGTGTTTACCTCCACCCTTGGTGAAGCCAAGTGAAACCCAGGGATGGTGACTTAGTTCTTAGACCCTTCTCTGGTACGCCAAAGCCCCTGCGAGTGCCTGTTCCACCCACCTAATCAGCAACTGCTGTTCTTGGCTGTTCCTTTTCTTCCTTCGCTAAGCTCTTTCTGTCTCCCCAGTTTCCCAAGGATTTTAAAGGTGAAATGCAGAATGATAGACTCCTAGAATGGACTGGGAAGGCTTTATTTCAGCTGCTCCATTTTCAAGGGAAGCCACCCAGGCTCCACGGTTATGTGGCCACGATGAGATGCCCGTTCTCTTGGTCTCCCGTCCTGGCTCCCTCCTTGTCACCCCACAGCATCTGTTTGCTTCCTAAAGGCCCTTGTGGCTGGGTGCGGTGGCTCATGCCTGTAATCCTGGCACTTTGGGAGGCTGATTAGAGTGGATCACCTGAGGTCAGGAGTTTGAGACCAGGCTGGCCAACCTGATGAAACCCCGTCTCTACCAAAAATACAAAATTTAGCTGGGTGTGATGGTGGGTGCCTGTAATCTCAGCTACTCAGGAGGCTGAGGTAGGAGAATTGCTTGAACCCCGGAGGCAGAGGTTGCAATGAGCTGAGATCGCACCATTGGACTCCAGCCTGGGCGACAGAGCGAGACTCGATTACACCTGTAATCCTAGCACTTTGGGAGGCCAAGATATGTGGATCACCTGAGGTCAGGAGTTCGAGACCAGCCTGATGAACATGGAGAAACCCCATCTGTACTAAAAAAAAAAAAAAGCCCCTGCCCTCGTTCCCTCGGCCACTGCCTCCCACCGAGGAGGTCTCCCCGGACTCTGTTTCTAATCGCTATGACGACTGCCCTCGGGCCCCGACCTGCTACCTGAGGCTCTTTCCCTGCTGCCTAGCAACCCCATCACACTCCCAATTGTCTGTGCAGCTCTTAGCCAGGCTGCACCAACATGTCCCCTGGTCATCACTAAAAGCAAAAGGTGGTCCCCCTGGTGAAGGGCACACCACCAGCAGCCCAGGATGCCCAGAACCAAGCCAGACTTTATTTGCTTGTGCCCAGCCCTGGCCACGGCATCTGTCCATCGAGATTTCGGCCACCTCTTGGTCTCCTCCCTGCCACCATCCGACTTGCCAGGACTTCTCTCGCCAAGACTTCTTTCCAGACCAGGCTTGTTGCTACAGCTTCACTGTGTTCAAGAAACTGGTATGAAAGGTAAGGAAAAGATGCTGAGCGCCCGTACAGCCTCGTGGCTGATGGGAGAGAATGTTAAGACAGACTCAAATTCAAAGGAGACCATTTGTAAAGCTATCTCTGGCCCTAGAGGTCATGTTGTTAACCATTATATCTCCCCCATTACATACGTGAGTGCACACACACACACACACACACACACACACGCTTATTAGAAGTATGTGGAAAAGGCATGCAAATGTGCACCTAAAATTGTTTGCAAGAGCCTTTGGGGAGGCAGAGTGAACTATGGAGGGAGATAAAAATAAACCTTCATTTTTTTTCCTTGCTATGGGTTTAGAATTTTTATGAGATATTATTTGTAACATTAAAAATGAAAATGATTCATGCAACAATAAAAATTAAAACTCTGGGCCAGGCATGGTGGCTTACATCTGTAATCCCAGCACTTTGAGAGGCTGAGGTGGGCAGATCACCTGAGGTCGGGAGTTCGAGATTTGCCTGACCAACATGGTGAAACCCCGTCTCTACTAAAAATACAAAAATTAGCCAGGAGTGGTGATGGGTGCCTGTAATCCCAGCTACCTGGGAGGCTGAAGCGGGAGAATCACTTGAACCGGGAGGCAGAGGTTGCAGTGAGCCAATATCTCGCCATTGCACTCCAGCCTGGGCGACAGAGTGAGGCTCCATCTCAAAAAAAAAAAAAAAATATTAAAACTCTGTTCTCTGCTCTTCAATCAGAGCTGATGAAGTGGCAGTGTGAATCAGGTGCGGTGGCTAACACCTGTAATCCTAGCACTTTGGGAGGCCAAGGTATGTGGATCACCTGAGGTCAGGAGTTCGAGACCAGCCTGATGAACATGGAGAAATCCCGTCTGTACTAAAAATACAAAATTAGCCGGGCGTGGTGACGCACGCCTGTGATCCCAGCTACTCAGGAGGCTGAGGCAGGAGACTCATTTGAACCCAGGAGGCGGCGGTTGCAGTGAGCCAAGATCGAGCCATTGCACTCCAGCCTGGGCAGCAAGAGCGAGACTGTCTCAAAAAAACAGATAATAAAATAAAAATAAAATTTAAAAAACAGTGGCAGTGTACGATCCGAGGGGCAATTTGCGGTGTCCCCAAGGGCCCCCTGCACAGATGCTGAGACTCAGGGACCTAGACCCCAGTTCTGTCTCTCAATGGTCACGTGACCTTGCCTGCAAACCTGGAGACTGCTGGGCATGGGACCTGATCTGGAGCCTCTGAAATGGGCACTTGGCATTAGCTTCCCCAGGAACAAGAGGTGCCACTTTAGGTAGAGGGGCAGGTGAGGAGGCATGGGACAGGCCACTGAGCAGCACAAGAGTGGGAGGCGCGATGGTAGCGGGCAGGCCTGAGCCACCCTTGGGGCGCCCTTGCTGGATGCCAGTGTCACCACTGAGTGACACCTCCATGCCAGCCCCTGTGTGCATTTCCCCCACTCACTCCTTACAACCTCCTCCCAGGGGCCACAGTTCAGGGGCCGCAGTTATTTCCCCATTTTAAAGGGAGAGGAGCCCTATGCACAGCTGCAGCCTTGTTCAGCAGAGTGGGGCTTGCAGCTGGGTCGGGCTGCCTTTCCTGTCTGCATCGTGGTTTCTTCACGTGGAGGGCGCTGAGTGAGGCAAAGAGGTCCTGGGAGAAGGCTTGTGGGGCAGGGCCAGAGGGGGCGGGGCCACGTCACGCAGAAGCTCCTAAGAACATAGGCCAGCCACAGAGCCACCGAGACGGAGGGGAGCCCAGCTGCAGACTCATGCTTGGCAGGGGCCTCTGTGCCCTGCGCCTGGGCTAAGAGGTCTAGCACAGTGAGAGACAGAACAGCTGTGGACTCCTCAGGCCTGGAGTCATGGCCAGAGCTGTGAGAACTTGGCTGCTTTCCCTCCTTCCCTCCCACTCTCCCTCCCTTCCTTCCTTCTCTCCCTCCCTCCCTCCTTCTTTCTTTTCTTTTCTTTCTTTCTTCTTTCTTTCGAGACAGGGTCTCACTTTGTCACCCAGGCTGGAGTGCAGTGGTGCAGTCTCGACTCAGTGCAGCCTCTACCTCCTGGGCCCAAGCGATCCCCCTACTTCAGCCTCCCAAGGAGCTGGGACTTCAGGCATGGACCGCCATGCTCGGCCAATGTGGTTTTGGTTTTTAGTAGAGACAGGGATCTCGCCATCTTGCCCAGGCTTGTCTCGAACTCCTGGGCTCAAGGGATCCTCCCGTTTTAGCCTTCCCAAGTGCAGAGATGATAGGCATGAACTACAGCTCTGGGGAACCTGGTTTCTTTGCTGCACTTACTAGAGCTCTGTTTCATCACTCGCTAAGTGGGTGATGGCAGCACTGCCGTGGGGCACCATGAGGCTGCAGAACGTGCTTGTCTGGCAAGTGGGAGAGGGTGGGCGTGTGGTGGGCTTGGTGTGGGATGCCTACTAGCATCACCACCATGACGGACCTTCCCTCTCTCTTCAAGGAGTTTGGCCTAAGATACAACATCCCTCACTTGCCAACTGATGGCAGAGCGGAGGGACCTGTAGTCCCTGACGCACCGTGTGCCTCCGCCCTCTGTCTAGGTCTCTGTCTTGCCAGGCTGGGCTGCAACATTGCTGCCTCCTCTTTGGGCTGCAGGGGCGCCTGGCACACACACCTATGGCTCCTCTCACCCCACTGGGGCCTAAAGATCCCTTGCGGACCCTCTTCCTGGGCTGCGAGTGTGGGCTCCGGCTCCTCCCGCCAGCTTCCCCCAGCCTCCAGCCCAGCAGCGCCAACTGGGCTCAAGTTTCGCTAAAGAAGTGAACTGGGAATGAGAAGGAGGGTAGGCAGCGTGGCCTGGCCTTGGCATGCAGGGAACAGGCGGGCAGGTGAGGCTCCAAGTAAGAAAGTATAGACAGGGCGGCCAAAGGAGCTCCCATCAACCCAGCCAGGGCTGTGCAGGGAACAGGGAGTGTCATGGGGCCTGGGCTGACCTGAAGTTCACCATGCCTGTCTTCTCATCCAGCCTCTTTATCACCTCCCTGACCTGGTACTGGTTCAGAGGGACCTTGTTTTGCTGAGGAGGAGGATAGAACATGTGCAGTTAATAAAACTCTGTTCACCCCCACCCTAGGTACCTCCCCACTGCCTCTCACACATGCACACACACTCCCCAAACAATGCCTCACTCCTCCTGGGACCGCGGATGGTGACTGATCGAGAGCTCAGGGGAAACTGATTCCGCAGCATGGAGGGGCTGGAGAAAGCTCCTCGTCCATGCGCCATTGTTCAGACTCCAAAGGGCCTCCCTTTTCTGGGGGCAATACGGGAGGAGGAGATCAGAGTCAGGTGGAGTGAGTGGCCGGGGGAGGGGACAGGACTCTCCTTTGCAGCCTGTGAAGTTCATTCTCACTCCCTGCCATTGGGTCCGGGCCAGCCTCTTCACCTCTGGCCTGGGCACCGGGCACCGACTGTCTTATCCATCCCTGCCCGGGCCCCCGGGAACTTCTCCTCTGGAGTCCTATTCCTACAGGGTACAGTTCTCTCCTGGGATGCTCCCTTCAGGTATGCATTACAGGGGGCTTTTGGCACCTTTATGACATGTGGAGTGAGAGGAATGTGGGATTTCAGGCAAAATGACAGGCCCAAGGTGGAACCTGGGATTTTGGGATGTGGTCTCCTCCCACTTCCTTTATTATCTGCCCAGTAGTGAAATGCAATGGGGAGAAAGACCTCCAGATAGAAGGTGCATCTCTGGGTGGTATCTCGGGTTATCGGTGGCATCAAGCCACAGCACAGGAATGACTTCAGCAGGGGTTGGGGGAGGTCTTGGGCTCCCTCTGGGCCTGGAGAAATGAGGGGAGTGTCCCACAGCCAGTCCCAGGAAGCTCTGGGAAGTGCTCACAAGCTCTTTGGCTCCTCCCCCCCCCCCCCACACACTCTCTCTCTCTCTCTCTCTCTCTCTCTCACACACACACACACACACACACGCTCACACGCAGCCTGAGGCCATAGGACCCAGCGCACCTCTATCATCACTTTCTGGAAGTCGCCTACTGACATCCTCATCGTCCCAGTAGGGTTCAGGCTCTTGAAGAAGTCCTCCACCGTGATTTTGTGCTGGTCTGCATAGCTCTGAGAGAAGCAGGAGAGACCAGGAGCAAACACTTGGCTTGCTTTCTTTATTTTTTATGATTGCACTTTAGGTTCTGGGGCACATGTGCAGATCATGCAGGACTGTTGCATAGGTACATACATGGCAAGGTGGTTTGCTGCCTCCATCCCTGTCACCTATGCCTGGCATTTCTCCCCATGTTATCCCTCCCCAACCTCCTCACCCCCTGCTGTCCCTCCCCTAGCCCCCCTCAACAGACCCCACTGTGTGATGCTCCCCTCCCTGTGCTTGTGTTCTCATTGTTCAACACCTGCCTATGAGCCAGAATATGCGGTGTTTGGTTTCTGTTCTTGAAACACTTGGCTTTCTAAAGTCGATCACAGATCCCCCTTCCCTCCCCCAAAGGCTGGCCCACGCTTCCAGGTGGCTGAGAAGGGCAGAAGGCCAAGGTGAGGAGCCTGTGTCTCCCAGGTGTTGGCCGTCCCCTAAGACCAAGAGCCGAGTGCAGGCCCACCAGGCCTGGCAAGGGTGCATGCTGGGATGGTTCTTGTGTGCTCGCTAGGCTTCTAGGAGCCCCTTGGCACCGCACAGATGCTCCCTCCATTCCAAAGGTGGAAGGATGGAGATCAAGGGTGTTCAGGCGCCGCAGTGTCAAGGGAATGGGGGCAGTGATCCTATCTACATACATGATCTGTTAACACTGGTATAGACGGTGTGCTGTGGATAGTAGGTGGATGGTCGGAGATCAGGAGGTTAAACCACAGCTGCATAATGTGATCATCGCTCTACGAATTCCTAGGATTCTCACAGTTTCACATCAATGCTCATATGGAAACGTACTTTGTCAGACTATTTTTAAAACAGTATTTTTTTTTTTTTTTTGAGACGGAGTCTCGCTCTATGGCAGGCTGGAGTGCAGTGGTGTGATCTCGGCTCACTGCAACCTCTGCCCCAGGTTCAAGTGATTCTCCTGTCTCAGCTTCCCGAGTAGCTGGGATTACAGGCATCTGCTACCACGCCTGGCTAATTTTTGTATTTTTAGTAGAGACAGGGTTTCACCATGTTGGCCAGGCTGGTCTTGAACTCCTGACTTCAAGTGATCTGCCCACCCAGCCTCCCAAAGTCCTGGGATTCTAGGTCTGAGCTACTGCACCCGGCCTTATAAATATTCTTTTGGATCCTTTTTAATTATCCTTTTGTTTCTCTTCCCCCTGCCACCCCCCAGCCCCCACTCTCAGAAGCCCCAGACGAGGTCCTGTTGTATCGATAGCTATTCCTGGCAACGTCCTGCTCACTGAGCGTTTCCTCAGGGCTCAGCCCTGGGACCTTTGCTCTTCGCTGCCCACACTTCTCCTTCTGGAGCACATGGCCTCTCACCCTTCCAGAGTGACCTCCGGAGCTACATTTCCAGTCCCTTATCCTCTACAGCTGCTGGACACCCCACGGGCACCTCAATCAACACAGGCAAAGTACATCTTGTCCCCCAATCCTGCACACTGCTGTTGAGTCCTACGGCAGATGCCGTGGGTGAGCCCTCGGCACCCGCTGCTGTTTCTTCAGAGCAGGCTTCTCTTCCATGCAGAGGCTGCAAAGCTGAAAGTGACATTCCCCAAGCCCCCTTGCAGCTGGGGGTCAGAATGGGATAGCCTTTGCCAAGCACCTGCCTGAGATGTTAAGTGTGAGGCTTGTGTCTGATTTGAGAGAGGCAGGTGGCGGGCAGCGGCGGTGGCTGCTTCCTGACTGAGCGGGGATCCCGCAATCATGCAGCTTCTTGTTTACAGCAGAAGCAGCACTCTCTTGGCAACCCAGTTGGGGTGTTTTGAGAGTCCTTTCTGGAATCTAACAAGAGTCTGTTTATTCAGCTGTCCTGACGTTTCTGTGGTCTCTCTCCTGTAATAAACCCCTGTGTGCTTAATGTAGCTGGAGTAAATTCTGTGGCCAGCAGCTAAGAACCTTGCCCAGCTACTTCAGTGGGTGCTGCGCTAAGACCCCACACAGCCCTGCCCTGGTGGAGTTCACAGGGTTGCGATCAAAGGGTGAAGGTGAAGCCGGGCCAGGTGCAGTGGCTCAAGCATATAATCTGCTTTGGGAGCACTTTGGGAGGCTGAGATGGACGGATCGCCTGAGGTCAAGAGGTCGAGACCATCCTGGTCAACATGGTGAAACCCCGTCTCTACTAAAAATACAAAAAATTAGCTGGGCATGGTGGTGCGTGCCTGTAATCCCAGCTACTCAGGAGGCTGAGGCAGGAGAATTGCCTGAACCCAGGAGGCGGAGGTTTCGGTGAGCCGAGATCGCGCCATTGCACTCCAGCCTGGGTAACATGAGTGAAACTCCGTCTCAAAAAAAAACAACAAACCAACAAAAAAAAAAAGAGTTCGAGACCAGCCTGTCCAACATGGCAAAACTCCGTCTCTACTGAAAATACAAAAGTTAGCCAGGCATGGTGGCACATGCCTATAGTCCCAGCTACTCGGGAGGCTGAGGCAGGAGAATCGCTTGAACCCAGGAGGTGGGGGTTGCAGTGAGCCGAGATCTCGCTATTGCACACTCCAGCCTGGGCAATACAGGGAGACTCTGTTCCAAAAAAATAAAAAAGAAACAGTGAAGCCAAGGGCTGCGGGAACGCACAGCAAGGGTGTTCACTCTTGACCACGGAATCCAAGAAGAGTTTCCCTAGGAAGTGACATTTGAGTAGAGACCTGAGAAGAATGGGTAGGAATGAGCGAGACAAAGAGGCAAGAGAAAACGTGTTCTAGGTGGAAGGGCCTGTCCTGCAGGCACACAGGCCTGCAGTGAAGAGAGAGCTGAGGCAAAGGGGGTCGGGGAGCAATCCAGCGGGGCTGAAGCGTGGAGAGGCAGGAAGGGCCAGGGGGCAGGCACCTTCCCTCTCTGCACTTCCCTGCCTCTGGCAATCTTTCTTTTAGTTCCTTGGGCTGGAAATCTTGGGTTATCTTTGGGTTTTTCTCATCATCACAGGCCTTTCTATCCCAACACACACACACACCCACATGCATGCGACACACACCCACATGTACTCAACCATTCGCCAAGTCCTGGAGATGTTTCCATAATGACACTCTTACATGTGCCCTTCAATTCCATTACTGTTCTCAGCCAAGCCATCATTCCACATCTAGAGTGCTGCAATTGTGTGCCTGTTGGCTTTCCTACTTTTTTTTTTTTTTTTTTTTTGAGACGGGGTTTCGCTCTTGTTACCAAGGCTGGAGTGCAATGGCGCGATCTCGGCTCACCGCAACCTCCGCCTCCTGGGTTCAGGCAATTCTCCTGCCTCAGCCTCCTGAGTAGCTGGGATTACAGGCACGCGCCACCATGCCCAGCTAATTTTTTTTTTGTAGTTTTAGTAGAGACGGGGTTTCATCATGTTGACCAGAATGGTCTCGATCTCTTGACCTCGTGATCCACCCGCCTCGGCCTCCCAAAGTGCTGGGATTACAGGTGTGAGCCACCGCGCCTGGCCTTTTTTTTTTTTAACTTCTTCAGTTCACTCCCCACTCCTGGAACCCCTCAATCCTGCTGGATTCACATCGCATCCACTGCCCAACAGTTGTCTCCGGCTCCCTGTTCCTGATAGAATCAAACCCAAACTCAAACCTAAAATCTGACGGCTGCACCTTGCAGCCCAGCCTCTGTTGCCATCTTTGCCTCTTGGGCCCCTCTGTGAACCTGGAGTCATGTGTTTGTGTCCCCTGAACATGATGCATGTGTTTCTAGCTCGGCACCTTTGCTGGCGGGAGTCTCTCCCCGGAACACACTCCCACCCTCGTGGCTCACCTGAATCTCTGATGTTCTTTTTTTTTTTTTTTGTAAGACGGGGTTTCACCATGTTGGTCAGGCTGGTCTTGAACTCCCGACCTCAGGTGATCCGCCCGCCTTGGCCTCCAAAGTGCTTGGATTACAGGTGTGAGCCACCACGCCTGGCCAAATCTCCGACATTCTTCAAGGCCCTTACCCAATCCCATCTCCGCCAGGAAGTCATCCTTTTCTGGTTGCCAAATCCTACATTGATCTCTTATTTGGATTCTGACTACAATTTCTGCCTCCGTCACTTATTTATTATTTATCATACGACACTTTTTTTTTTTTTTTTTTTGAGACAGAGTCTCACTCTGTTGCCCAGGCTGGAGTGCAGTGGCACAGTTTCAGCTCACTGCAGCCTCCGTCTCCAGGCTTCAAGTGATTCTTGCACTTCAGCCTCCCAAGTAGCTGGGATGATAGGCACCCACCACCACACCCAGCTAATTTTTGTACTTTCAGTAGAGATGGGATTTCATCATGTTGGCCAGGCTGGTCTTGAACTCCTGACCTCAAGTGATCTGCCCACCTCAGGTTCCCAAAGTGCTGGGATTACAGGTGTGAGCCACTGCGCCTGGCCACATGAAACTTTCTATGGTCTGTGGGTCATCCCTGTATGCATCTCATCTTTCCAGCCAGATTGTTGGTCCCCTGAGGGGAGGACTATGCTTGACTCTGAATGTCTTGTTTGGTCTCCAAGATTCATTTTCTGTGCATCTTTAAAACAAGAGGTGGGATCCCCACTTTGCCTCAGATAGCTCCGTTCCTGCTCCCTAGAGCACCCTCTCCCCTTGCAGAACAGGTGTGCTCTTGGTTCCATCTGAAGTCACCTTACTCATACAAATACTTTGCCTTTAGAATTTTTTACATAACGATTTTCATGTGGGAGCTCTTTTATTTAGTTCTGGAAACTGAGGCACAGAGCAGACCATCGAGGGCAGAAAGCAGCCAGGGACACCCTGCAAAACATGCACTGGCAGAATGCCATCCCATGCCCGGCCTCCAGATAGCAACCCCTCTTCGGCCAGCAGCAGGCTCCCGGCCCCCACCACAGGGTGAGAGGCCTGCAGTAGAAACACCAGAGCAGGGTCTGGGCACTGGTCTGTGAGGCAGTGGGACTAGAAGAGCAGTCGCATCCCTTTCAGCTCTAATAGTCTGTGATTTTGTATTTCCGCCGTTACATATGCCTCCTGTAATTGCCAGAGCTAAGCTAAGAAAAGATGAGTCAGAGGCAAGTTACCATTAGAAACAAAGGACTCGAATGTCTCTCTTTGGCTGAAGCTGCCAAATAGCTGTCCTGACCACAGAGATGTCTTGACATTCTCACCAGCTGTTGGAAAGAACAGCTTTACATCTGCCTCCTGTGACTGCCAGAGCTAATCTAAGAAAAGATGAGTTGGGGGCAAGTTACCATCAGAAACAAAGGACTGAAGTGCTGAAGCTGCCAAACAGCTGATCTGACCACAGGGATGTCTTGACATCCTTACCAGCTGTTGGAAAGAAACTGTGTCTATAATAAGCAGGTGCTTCTTCTTATTATTATCATTTTTGAGACAGAGTTTCAGTCTTGTTGCCCAGGCTGGAGTGCAATGGCATGATCTCGGCTCAGCGCAACCTTCGCCTCCTGGGTTCAAGCAATTCCCCTGCCTCAGCCTCCCAAGTAGCTGGGATTATAGGCATGCACCATCACACCCAGCTAATTTTGTGTTTTTAGTAGAGATGGGTTTCTCCATGTCGGTTAGGCTGTTCTTGAACTCCCGACCTCAGGTGATCTGCCCGCCTCAGCCTCCCAAAGTGCTGGGATTACAGGTGTGAGTCACCGCACCTGGCCAAGCGGGTGCTTATTCTAGACCAGGCATTCTTCTAAGCACTTCATGCATTTTACATAATTTGATCTTCCAAGCAACCCTACTGAGGTGGCTACTGTTGTGCCCATTCTGTAGGTGAAAAGAAGTGACCCAGAGAGCTTCAGTGACTTGCCCTTGGTTATACGTTAGCAGGTGGAGGAACCTGGGTGGGAGAATCCATCCTGTCCACCCACCCCCTTCAGCTGGATCTCAGCTCTTCCCTTTCTCTGGGGATCAGGAAGCACTGCTGAGGGATCCAGTAGCCACAGAGAATTCTGCAGTCCAAGGCACGGAGACATTCCTTATCAGAGAGGGTTGTACAGACACTTGGGGAGGGAAAGTCTGGAAGCTGATTTGGAGTCAAAGGCCAGCTTTCTCCAGGGCTCCCCAGAGGCCCTGAGAGGAAGCAGGAGCTCACCTGGATCAGTTTCATGGGGTTTGTCAACAAGGAGATGGTGTTCTTGGCAGAGGGGCCTTGTACTCCCTTGAACACCACGTCCAGCTGCGGGTGAACAGCGTACACTCCGTCCAACGTTTTCATGAACTGCTCCGACACCAGCACGTTCTGTGGCAGGGAGAGAGGGGATCCATGATGACGAAGACACTGCTATTGTGCCTGCCCAGCCAGTGCGCCCTCCCTCTTCCACCCAAGCTGAAGTCAGGAAGTTTTGTCTTTTCCAGTTTGTTCTCAGTGCTGCTTCTGGACTGGGATAGTTTGGGTGTTTTAGAGCTTGTGAATTGACTTGTAAGTTTCCTGTGTAATTTTGATGGGATGTTTTTGTCGAGTACTGGTGGCTTGTCACCTGCTGCCAGCTCAGCTCTGCTCTCAGATGGCATCTGCATATGACAGATGAGATACAGCTATGGAGTGGCAAGATGGTCCTTAAACAAAAGCCCTGAAGTGTCCATGTCTGCATGAGTGTTGGTCTTCAGAGAAAGTGCCTGGAAGAGGATCTCTGATTTCATTAAGTGACCCGGAACGAACAGGAAACTTGCCCTTCTGGAAGTGCACTCAGAGCTGGTTCGTAGGACATGGGAGAAAATGTGTCCTGTGAAATAGGGTTTCATGAAACCTGGGCTCCCCCAGTTTGGTCAACCTGCTTTATTCCTCAGACGTGGAGTACATTTTTTGCCCTTCCAAGGAATTAAACACCTGCTTAAGGGAAGAAGGCTTTGTAGCTATTCTAGAGAAAGTTCTAGGTGCATTTACAAAAGAGGAATTTCTATACTGTTCAGAGTTATGGTGGTATTGTTGACAAAAGGGAAGGAGAAGGCTAATTAAGGCCAAGCAAAATGGCTCACACCTGCAATCCAGCATTTTGGGAGGCTGAGCGGGGGCGATCACTTGAGGTCAGGAATTCAAGACTAGCCTGGCCAACATGGTGAAACCCCGTCTCTACTAAAAATACAAAATAAGTAGCCAGGTTTGGTGGGCACCTGCAATCCCAGCTACTCGGAAGACCGAGGCAGGAGAATCATTTGAACCCGGGAGGCAGAGGTTGCAGTGAGCCGAGATTATGCCACTGCACTCCAGCCTGGGTGACAGAGTGAGTCTACGTCTCAAAAAAACAAACAAACAAACAAACAAAAAAGGCTAATTCAGACCTATTTGTTCTGGTAGGTTTGTTAAGTGCCAATGTAGTCACAGCTTACAGATTCATGGGCCATCCCATAAACCTACATAGCATCATTTCTTATGTTCTCAAACACACCAAGGCAGTGCCTGGTTCCATGCTTTCCAACCTGTATTGCCAGGGAGAGGAAAATACAAATGCCAACAAAATCTGAATCTGCAGTAGAGACTCAGGGCGGTGAAGGCAGCATCCTGGCGTGCAGATTCAGAACTGGAGCATGAGGATGGGGAAAGGGTGGAAGGCCCAGGAGTATCAGGGGGGACGGGTGAAAGAACAAAATGAAAGGAAAAGCAGCTATGTGTGACAATGTCTCCAAATGTGTAGCAAGTAGAAACCCACATTGTATTAATTATTCAGTTCTAAGGAATTTGGGTTTAAATATTCAAAATGCCATCATTGGAGGCTGAATGTGGTGGCTCACACCTGTCATCCCAGCACTTTGGGAGGCTGAGGCGGCTGGATCACTTGAGGTCGGGATTTCGAGACCAGTCTGGCCAACATGGTGAAATACTGTCTCTACTAAAAATATAAAAAATTAGCCCGGCATGGCATATGCCTATAGTCCCAGCTACTTGGGAGGCTGAAGCACAAGAATTGCTTGAATCCAGGAGGCAGAGGTGAGCCGAGATTGTGCCACTGTACTCCAGCCTGGGCAACAGAGTGAGACTCTCTGTTTTAGTTTCCTTATATGTAAAATGGGAAAATGAGGACAAGTACTTGTTATGGGTTGATTCTGGCCCCCTTCCAAAAACAGATGTTGAAGTTCTAACCCCCAGGACCCATGAATGTGAATGTTTGGAAATAGGGTCTTTGCAGATGGTCAAGTTCAAGTGAGGTAATTAGGGTGGGTGCTAATCTAATATGACTGTGTTCTTATATAAAGGGGACAGGGAGAATGCCTTGGGAGGCAGAAGGCAGAGATGGGAGTGATGCTTCTACAAGCTAAGGAACACCAAATCATGCCAGCCCCATCCATACTTATGGGATTTAGGAAAAGCTATAGGGGGAGAATCAAGACAAGAGAAGGCTGAGATGGGAGGAGAGGCTGGCCCAGAGCACAGCTTCTCCAGTTCATCGAATCACAGAAGCCAGGGGAGAGGTCGGCAACAGATTCTCCCTCACAGCCCTAAGAAGGAATCAGTCCTGCTGACACTTTACACTTGGACTTCCAGCCTCCAGAACTCTGAGACAGTACATGTCTGTTGTCTAAGCCTTCCAGTTTGTGGTACTTCACAGCAGCCCTAGGAAATTAATATAGTACTCTACCTACCTTCTAGAGTAGAATAAAAATGAGCTGGCGGCTGGGCGCGGTGGCTCACGCCAGTAATCCCAGCACTTTGGGAGGCTGAGGTGGGAGGATCATGAGGTTAAGAGATCGAGACCATCCTGGCCAACATGGTGAAACTCTGTCTCTTCTGAAAATACAAAAATTAGCTGGACGTCGTGGCATGCGCCTGTAGTCCCAGCTACTTGGGAGGCTGAGGCAGAAGAATCACTTGAATCTGAGAGGTGGAGGTTGAAGTGAACTGAGATTGTGCCACCGCACTCCAACCTGGGTGACAGAGTGAGACTCCATCTCAAAAAAAAAAAAAAAAAAAAGAGCTGGCATATATAAAATCACTTTGGGAAAAAAACGAGTATAAAATGGTAGATAAGTATAGGCTATTATCGGATGCCACCTGTCTACTGATTCAGGCAAGAGTTTCCGGCAGGATCTGAAGTCACCTCCTGGGGCTTTCCTCCTTTATCAAGAAATTTGCACCTGCAAATAACTGCTCTGAGTATAACAGGCCAACTCATGAAATGAAAATAAATTTAGTATGTATTTTAATATCCAGATTCTACAAATTTTGTGATTCTGGAACCATTCTGGGACCCAGGGCCATTCATTCGCAAAGCTGATGTTAAAGAATTCTGGAGTCCTCCGGCTTTTCCTTTTGGCATTTTCTTCTCTCTACTCTCAGGTGTTCATGGCCTGGGTTTCCAGCATCTGGTAAATTATTTCTCACTATGATGTTACTGACTAAATAGTTACTCTTCCTAAAAGGATCCCTGGAGAGAGCAGAGTTATAACAAAAGAAGTGACTCTTTCATGGAGCACTTGTGTGAGGGCCTGTGAGGGATAAGGCTGTTGGCTCCGGCCAACAGAGAGTATAAAGTGCACAGGGTCACTGGCATGCACGCAGATGTAAGCAACTACCATTTGATCACTTACAGAAATATCAAGCACTTCCATCCTGGATTTGGGGTTCCTCTTGATAGACAGGATAAGTGAAAGAGCCCCATCCACACTTATGGGATTCAGGAAAAGCTATAGAGGGAGAATCAAGACAAGAGGAGGCTGAGATGGGAGGAGAGGCTGGCCCAGAGCACAGCTTCTCCAGCTCATCAAATCACAACCTCCGTCTCACACTTAAGACTTCTCTGTATTTATCTCCTTGTCCATCTGTTTGTTTATCCATCTGTCTGCCTATCTCACTGCTCATCCATCCATTCATCCATCCATTCACCCATCTATCTATCCATCCGATCCACTTGTCCATCTGCTGATCCATCCACCTGTCATCCATCCATCCATTCATCCATCCATCTACCCACCATTTATCCATCCCACTGCTTTCCCATCCATCTATCCATCCATCTGCCATCTGTTCATCTCACTGCTCATCCATCCAACCATCTATCCATCTATTCACCCACCTGTCTATTCATCCATCTCACTGCTTATCCATCCATCTATCCATCTGTCCATCCATCCATCCACCAACTTATCCATCTCACTGCTCTCCCCTCCATGAATACATCCACCCACCCACCCACCCATCTGTCCATGTCATTGCTCATCCACCCAACATCTGTCTATTCATCCACCTGTCCATCTACTCATCCATCCACCTCTCATCCATCCACCCACACATCTGTCCATCTAACTGCTCATTCAACCATCTATCTATCCATCCGTTCATCTACCTGTCCATCTACTCATCCATTCACCTGTCATCCATCCAGCCAGCACATATTAATTAGAAGCTTGCATATGCCAGCCTCTGGACTAAGCACTGAGGGATGCACAGGCAGACATGGCAAGGTTTCTGTCCTCAGGTAGCTTAACACTCTAACCGGGGGAGACAGGCAAACAAGCCAATAGCATCAGAAGTGTGTTGACAACAGAGACAGAGGTACACATGGGTACTGCAGGAGCAAGGAAAGGAGCATGCAGCATAGAGGAGGGGACCATGGAGCTAAGCCTTGCAGGACTAATGAGGATTAGTGAGGTCTGAGGAAGGGGAGCAAAACCAGAGGAGGAAATAAGATTCAAAGAAGAAAAGAGTAGGCAAGTGCAAAGGCATAGGAGTGTGAAACAGCATGAGATGTTGGCCAGCAGAAGCAGAGAGAATGAGGCCACAGAGCTGGGATGGGCCACATCATGGAGAACCTTATAGGCATGGAGAAGGAACAAGGACTTTATCCCAGGAGTGCTAGGAGCTGCTGAAGCATGGGTAGAAGTTAACAGAAGGGCCTCTGGGGCCTGGTGGCTCTGCTTACCAGCTGCTTGGCCTTGCATTAATTCCCTGAGCACTGTGTACTTAACACCTGTGGCTGCTCCGAGGACTTACCATATTAACTCAGGCAAAGCATTGAAATGAGTGCCCGGTAGGCAGTATGCAGTCAATGAACAATAGTTCTTATTATTGAAGGCTTTCAGCTAAGTGTCTTCAACATGAGACAGTCAAAACTCTTACTGAACAACTAGAATGTGTTAGCTGTTTCCCAGGCTCTGATGTAGTCTTTTGAGAAAATGCAGACTGGAGCCCTGACCTCATGGAGCTCAGCATCTAGAATCCTTTGCTGGACTCACTTCCCAATGGGAATTCCTCATTTTTCCAAGCTTAGGGGAAGGGGCACCAGGGCTGGATGTGGAGACCCGTAGACAATTCCTGTAACAGGCCTGTCTTGGTGGCTCACGCCTGTAATCCAAGCACTTTGGAGGCCAAGGTGGGAGGATCACCTGAGGTCGGGAGTTTGAGACCAGCCTGACCAACATGGTGAAACCCTGTCTTTATTAAATAAATAAATAAATATATAAAATAAAAGATAATTCCTTTAACAAAGTTGATGCGGTCTACATGGTGGCCAAACTAAGAGTTTTGTCTTAAATTCTTTCCTTTTACTTCTAAAACATTTTAGAAAACTGAAATGTATTCATTATATATGGTCATCGTGGAAAAATGAGAAAAGTGGTAAAAAAGGGTTTGAACCATGTTTAACCACAAAACAGTGAAGACCTCATTGCCATTTTGCTGAGGTGACTGCTTAGTCTTTTAAAATTCAGGTTCTCAGACTGTCCCTGGCTTCCTCAGCCACCGGGGCTGAGCCACCCACGGCCTGGGTCAGTCTCTGTCTGGGTAGGTCCCGCTCCACCCCAGCTGGGACTCCCAGATCTCCTGGTCCCTGGACGGCCAGTCTGTTTGGTCTGTTGTCACTGTGCTCCTTCTGCCTGTCGGGATCTGGCTTCCTCCTGTCTCTTTAGCAGCTGCTCATGTTGTCCTCTCAGAGGGCAGCCCCTTCCTCACTGGCTCCTCACTGCTTTCCTTCTTCAAGGGTCTTGCCTCACATCTGTGGTCCCTCCAACCACCCTTACCTCCTGTGGGAGTCTGAGTTGCCATGGAAAACCAGGTAGAGTGGGCTTCCCTCTGCCTCTTGCTACTTGTGTGGCTCAAGCAAGTCACACAGCCTCAGTTTTCTCATCTGACAAGTGGGGCTAACAGAGCCTGCACTACCAGGTTAGGCTGTGAGTAATGAGAGCGGGCTCTTGGCAGGAGCCCCAGAAAGGGGGGCGATTCATATAAGTCCTCATCTTTCATCTGTTTTCCAGCTGCTCAATAGCATCTATATTATAAATTAGCATTTATAAGTAAATTAATTTAAAATGAAATATGTATTCATTAATTCATTCATTTAATGAATATTCACTGGGCTACTACATGCTCAACACTATGCTAGGTATGAGGGACTACATATGAGGGGTTTAATGATGGGCAAAACCAAACACAGTATTTTTTATTTTTTATGAGATAGAGTCTTGCTCTGTTGCCCAGGCTGGAGTGCAATGGTGCGGTCTCGGCTCACTGCAACCTCTGCCTTCCGGGTTCAAGTGAGTCTCCTGCCTCAGCCTCCCAAGTAGCTGGGATTATAAGCATGTACCACCATGCCTGGCTAATTTTGTATTTTTAGTAGAGATGGGGTTTCACCATGTTGGCCAGGCTGGTCTTGAACTCCTGACCTCAAGCGATCCACCCACCTTGGCCTCCCAAAGTGCTGGGATTACAGGTGTTAGACACTGCACCCGGCCTAAACACAGTCTTCGTTCTGATGAAGCTTTCACATTCAAGGGGGTGATAGGCAAGCAAAGAGCCCTCAAATACATGGAATGAGAAAGGGCAGCAAATTCCATGGGAAGTAGGGAGCAGGGCTCTGAGAGCAGTTCCCCTAGATGGAGGATTCCAGAAGCAAGCAAGTGGAGGGGGAGTGGCCAAGCCCTGTGGTAGGAGGAAAGGAGCGGAGAGAAGACCTGGGGGCCTTGGGTGCAGAGCAAGGGAGAGCACGGGGTGGACTGAGGCTGGGGGGCACTTGGAGCTCAGCAAACGGGGTCTGAGCAACACAAACCCATGGGTGGGTCTAAGCCAAAAGAGAGAAGACTGAAGGGCTGGGGAAGGGAAATGCACATCAGATTTGTGTTCAAAAATATGCTCTGAGGGCTAGGCACAGTGGTTCATGCCTGTAATCCCAGCACTCTGGGAGGCTGATGTGGGAGGATGGTTTGAACCTGGGAGGAGGAGTTTGCAGTGAGCCGAGATTGCACCACTGCATTCCAGCCTGGGTGACAGAGCCAGACCCTGTTTCAAAAATAAAAAAAGCACACTCTGGTGGCAATGTTGTGAAGATTCTGAAGGAGACCCAGATGGGAGGAAGGAAGACCAGTTAGGAAGACCTGCAGGGCACCAGGGGGCACTGAGGGTGACACTGGCTTTAGAGCAGAGAATGGTCGCTGAGCTTACAGCCGAGAGATGGTAAAAAATACATACATATATGAAGTACAGATGTTCCAAATGATTCTCTCCAGTACTATGCAGCTCCCACCTCACCCCAACACACACACACACACACACACACACACACACACACACACACACACAAAATAGCCCCTTTCCAGCGGAAGACTACCTTCAGAACTTTGAGGCTTTCATTGGACTCCAGTCCTTTGCTGATTTTGGAGGCCCCTTCGTTGCTGATGTCATTGCTGCTGACATCCAGGTAGACCAGGCAGCTGTTGAGTCGGAGGACCTCCCCTAGGGCCAGGGCCCCCTCATTCCCGAGGCCATTCATGGAGAGGTCCAGTTTTGTCAGGGTCACATTACCCTCCAGGGAGAGGGGAGAAGCACCAGCATCAAGGTTGCATGTAACTCATCCAACCAAAAGGGCCCCGATTTCTACCCACTGCTGGCATCCTGACTGGGTGCTCAGTGGTCCCCAGGAGTGACAGATCTGCCAGATTGTTCCAGAGCTCACAGCAGGGCTCAGTTTCGAGTATTCATGAGACTCCTTCCCTTTGGCTTCTTGTCATTCACTACCCATTAATTAAACTGCCCTCTTGAAGTGTCACCAAAGATGCCACCCTAGCCTCAGCAGATATGATTATACTAAAGAATAACGTGCAGGCCGGGCACGATGTCTCACACCTGGAATCTCAGCACTTTGGGAGGCCAAGGCAGGCGGATCACAAGGTCAGGGGTTCAAGACCAGCCTGGCCAATATGGTGAAATCCCGTCTCTACTAAAAATGCAAAAATTAGCCAAGCGTGGTGGCGGGCACCTGTAGTCCCAGCTACTTGGGAGGCTGAGGCAGGAGAATCCCTTGAACCCAGGAGGCAGAGGTTATAGTGAGCTGAGATTGTGCCACTGCACTCTAGCCTGGGCCACAGAGTGAGACTCTTGTCTCGGAAAAAAAGAATAACGTGCATCCAGGGATTGTGGGAGGGAGACCAATAACTTGAAAAGCATTTGATGAGATCTCAGTATGCCCTCATTGTTGGTGATCATGAGGAAGAGGCTGAGGATGGCAGGAGGGAGGTCCTGGCTAGCCTCAGTCGGGCTCCACACACCATTCCTGGAGAGTGCCTTACCCGGAGACCATTGCACAAGGCTACAGCTCCTCGTGTGTGAAAGTGATTCCAGCTCAGATCCAGTGACGTGAGCCCCACATTGTTGGCTGAAACAGGGAGGGAATTGGCTTAGTGTCTCCCACAGCCCAAAAAGCCGATTCTCAGAGTTAACAGATGTCCATGACATTGGGGATAAAGACCACTCAGTGGTCATGCAAGGTAAAATTCTCAGATAATACTTTTTTTAGTTATTCATTTAAACACAAAATTGTAAGACAATTCCCAAAGCTGGCAAAGATGTGGTGAAATAATCCTCCTTGCATAGTTTAGGTGGGAAGGAAATTGCTATAGTCTATTTGGCAGATATTAGCTGATCACAGATATTTTCCCATTAAAAGGTGGTCACCCTGTCATCACCTCTGACACTCTCTCTACCTAAGATGACAGCACAGAATATGGGAAAAGCAATGTGCTTGTAGAGGTTTACCATGGCATCATTTATAAAAGTAAGAATTATTTGGCCGGGCATGGTGGCTCACACCTGTAATCCCAGCACTTTGGGAAGCTGAGGCAGGTGGATCACCTGAGGTCAGGAGTTTGAGACCAGCCTGGTCAATATGGTGGAACCCCGTCTTTACTAAAAATACAAAAATTAGCTGAGCGTGGTGGCACATGCCTGGAGTCCCAGCTACTCGGGAAGCTGAGGCAGGAGAATTGTTTGAACCCAGGAGGTGTAGGTTGCAGTGAGCCAAGATGGCACCACCAAACTCTAGCCTGGGTGACAGAGCTAGGCTCCATCTCAAAATTAAATAAATAGGCCGGGCATGGTAACTCACGCCTGTAATCCCAGCACTCTGGGAGGCCAAGGGGGGTGGATCACAAGGTCAAGAAATTGAGACCATCCTGCCCAACATGGTGAAACCCCGTCTCTACTAAAAATATAGAAATTAGCCAGCTGTGGTGGCAGGTGCCTGTAATCCCAGCTATTTGTGAGGCAGAGGCAGGAGAATCACTTGAACCCAGGAGGTGGAGGTTGCAGTGAGCCGAGATCGTGCCACTGCACTTCAGCCTAGCGACAGAGTGAGACACTGTCTCAAATAAATAAATAAACGAATGAATGAATGTAAGAATTATTTATCTGGTGGAATATTTTGCATTAAAATAGACAGAAGTAGCTGGAAAACATCTTCAGGGGCTGTATTTACACAGGAACACTGTGATGGATGTGGCATATTATGACACACTATATCTTTATCATGGCAGGCCATGGCTGCAGTGGTGACTCCAGAATTTCTCTTCAGCAAAGCCTTAGGAGCACAACCAGTTGGAAGTAGGGAGGCATCAGGTTTGTGGCGAAGCTGGGTCTGCACAGAAATCATACTTTGGTTTTGCCCCAAAGATGATTTTGCTTACATGTTCCACAGGGTTGGGACATTCTATTTCAACACATTATTATTGTTGCTTTTATTTGGGGAGGGCAGTTATGCCAAGGATGCCATCAATGGTAAGGCTAAAGTCCTCTTGAACCATGACTGAATGGGAGGAATTGCCTTTAGGCCTCTGGCCCAGGAATAATGTCTTATTTCTTATTTTATTTTATTATTTTTTTGAGACGGAGTTTCGCTCTTGTTGACCAGGCTGGAATGCAATGGCACGATCTTGGCTTACCGCAACCTCCACCTCCTGGGTTCAAGCGATTCTCCTGCCTCAGCCTCCTGAGTAGCTGGGATGACAGACACATGCCACCACGCCCAGCTAATTTTTGTATTTTTATTAGTAGAGGCGGGGTTTCACCATGTTGGCCAGGCTGGTCTTGAACTCCTGACCTCAGATGATCCGCCTGTCTCAGCCTCCCAAAGTGCTGGGATTACAGGTATGAACCACCGCGCCTGGCCTATTTTTTATTTTTTGTGGATAGTGCACTATGTTCAGATCCTGCTTCTATTTGTGTCAACCCTGGGTGTGTGTTTTTAGCAAAGCGCATAACACCTTATATAATTTTGGGAGCAAACTTTCTCTTGCCTTTGTTTTTTTTTTTTTGTTGAGACAGAGTCTCACTCTGTCACTAGGTGCCACGCTGGAGTGCAGTGGCATGATCTTGGCTCACTGCAACCTCCGCCTCCTGGGTTCAAGCAATTCTCCTGCCTCAGCCTCCCGAGTAGCTGGGACTACAGGCGCACACCACCACACCCAGCTAATTTTTGTATTTTTAGTAGAGACGGGGTTTCACCATGTTGGCCAGGATGGTCTTGATCTCTTGACCTTGTGATCTGCCTGCCTTGGCCTCCCAAAGTGCTGGGATTACAGGCTTGAGCCACCGCACCCGGCTCTCTTGCCTTTGTTACCCGTTCCCTTCTCTCTTTCACTCTCTTCTTAATCCAGATTTCCTCTTCTCTGCCAGTTCTCTCATTTAAGCTACACCCTGCACACCTGCGTCACTCAAATGGCCACACAATTTAGATGATAATTCTGATCTCACCACTTACTACCCGTGTAACAACTGGCAGGTTACTTAACCTTCCTTTATACCTGTTTCCTTATCTGTACGATGGAGATATAAACCTATATAGAGTGTTTTTTAATGAGGTTTGATGTAAAATGCCCAACATGATGCCTGTTGCATAGCAATCACTTCAAATAATAAGTTTTTTTAGTTTTGTTTTGTTTTGAGACAGAATATCAGTCTTGTCACCCAGGCTGGAGTGCAATGGCGCGATCTTTGCTCCCTGCAACCTCCGTCTCCCAGGTTCAAGCGATCTCCTGCCTCAGCCTCCCGAGTAGCTTGAAATTATTGGCCCAAGCCACCATGCCAAGCTAATTTTTTGTATTTTTAGTAGAGATAGGGTTTCACCATATGGCCAGACTGGTCTTGAACTCCTGACCTCAGGTGATTCACTCACCTTGGCCTCCCAAAGTGTTGTGATTACAGGCGTGAGCTACTATGCCTGGCAATAATAAGTGTTTTTAAAAGCTGCATTCGCAGTATGTTTATAACCATTTTGAAAGAGCACAGGCCAGGCGTGGTGACTCACGTCTATAATCCCAGCACTTTGGGAGGCCAAGGAGGGCAGATCACTTGACGTCAGGAGTTCAAGACCAGCCTGGCCAACATGGTGAAAACCATCTCTACCAAAAATACAAAACTTAGCCTCGCATGGTGGTGGGCTCCTGTAATCCCAGCTACTTGGGAGGCTGAGGCACAAGAATTTCTTGAACCCGGGAGGCGGAGGCTGCAGTGAGCCAAGATCTTGCCACTGCACTCCAGCCTGGGCAACAGAGCGAGACTCTGTCTCAAAAACAAAACAAAAAAGAGAGCACAGTCTGCCTCATGTTAAATTTATGACCTCGGTTTTCAGGCAGAGACTCAAACTGCCTCAAACTTTCCACCACCACGTGGAAAGGCGCTTCCTTTACATGTTGCTCCTCCCCGACACACGGTATTTTACGCCTTCTGCCCTCCCATCAGCCCTAGTGGTCTGAACTGCACTTTCAGCTGAAGATCTTGCCTCCTACTTCACTGAGAAAATAGCAGCAATGAGAGCCTTCAAACACCATCGTGAAATCTACCCACTTACCCGCACCTGTATCCACCCTTTCCTCATTTGTCTTTCAACGAATGAACTGTCTGTCCCTCCTGCTCTCTAAGGCGAGCTCTGCACTTTTGTTCTGGACTTCACAGCCTGCAGCCTTCTCATGGACTTTGCTCCTGTAATTACCTCCCCCTTTTTCTGTAGCATCAGCTTCTTCTGTTTTTCCTCTCAGCATTTTCCATCCTTAAAAACTCTCCCTGGGGCGGGGCGCGGTGGCTCACACCTGTAATCCCAGCACTTTGGGAGGCCGAGGCGGGCGGATCATGATGTCAAGAGATGGAGACCATCCTGGCCAACATGGAGAAACCCCATCTCTACTAAAAATTCAAAAATTAGCTGGACGTGGTGGTGAGTGCCTGTAGCCCCAGCTATTCAGGAGGCTGAGACAGGAGAATCACTTGAACCGGGGAGGCAGAGGTTGCATTTAAGCTGACAGCCACTGCATTTCAGCCTGGGCAACAGAGCTAGACTGTCTCAAAAAACAAACAAAGAAAAAACACCCTCTCTGGACTGCCTGTCTCCCTTGACTCCCGCCCCTTCTTTCTGTTCCAGCCTTCCCAGAGGAACTTCTGCAGTTGCCTATAGTGTTCTTTTAGCTTTGCATTCTATTATATAGGCATGTGCCACCATGCCCAGCTAATTTTCGATTTTTTTTTTTTGAGATGGAGTCTCACTCTGTCACCCAGGGTGGAGTGCAATGGCGGGATCTCGGCTCATTGCAACCTCCGCCTCCTGGGTTCAAGCAATTCTCCTGCCTCAGCCTCCCGAGTAGCTGGGACTACAGGTGCACACCACCACACCCGGCTAATTTTTGTATTTTTAGTAGAGACGGGGTTTCACCATGTTGGCCAGGATGGTCTTGATCTCTTGACCTTGTGATCTGCCTGCCTTGGCCTCCCAAAGCGCTGGGATTACAGGTGTGAGCCACTGTGCCCGGCCTAAATTTCGAATTTTTCGTAGAGAGAGGGTCTCACTATGTTGCCCAAGCTGGTCTTGAACTCCTGGCTTCCCACCTCAGCCTCCCAAAGCACTGGGATTACAGGCATGAGCCAGTGTGCCAGGCCCTCACTTTCAACTCAACCTCCTCCATTGGAGTTTCCATACTCACCTACTCCTCTAAAACAGCACTTTCTTTTTTTAAGTTCAGGGGTACATGTGCAGGTTTGTTATATTGGTAAACTTGTGTCACAGGGTTTGTTGTGCAGATTATTTCATCATCCAAGTACTAAGCCTGGTATTCATTAGTTATTTTTCCCATTCCTCTCCCTCCTCCTGCCCTGCACTCCCAGTTAGTCCCCAGTGAATGCTTCCCTTTATGTGTTCATGTGTTCTCATACTTTAGCTCCCACTTGTAAGTGAGAACATGGGGTATTTGGTTCTCTGTTCCTGCATTAGTGTACTAAGGATAACGGCCCCCAGCTCCATTCATTTTCCTGCAAAGAACAGGGTTTCACTGTTTTTTGTGACTGGATAGTATTCCAGGGTGTATATGTACCACATTTTTCCTTTATGCAGTCTATCATTGATGGGCATTTAGGTTGACTCCATGTCCTTGTTACTGTGAATAGTTAAAATAGCACTTTAGAGACAGGTGCGGTGGCTCATACCTGTAATCCCAGCACTTTGGGAGGCCGAGGCAGGTGGATCACGAGGTCAAGAGATTGAGAACATCCTGGCCAACATGGTGAAACCCCATCTCTACTAAAAATACAAAAATTGGCTGGGTGTTTGGCATGAGCCTGTAGTCCCAGCTACTCGAGGGGCTGAGGCAGAAGAATCGCTTGAACCTGGGAGGTGGAGGCTGCAGTGAGCCGAGACTGCGCCACTGAACTCCAGCCTGACGACACAGCAAGACTCCGTCTCAAAAAAAAAAAAAAAAAAAAAGCATCTTCGAGGCCACTAACTCTTTCCATGCTGCCAATTGCCATGGTCACTATTTTATCCTTGTCTTATTTGACGAGGATAGCAGCAGCATCCTCAGCAGCATTTGACGCAACTGCCAACCTTCTTCCTGAACCATTCCCTTCCTGGGCTCCTTGCCACCTTGCTTTTCTGGTTTTCCTCCTGTTTGACCACTCCTTCTCAGGCTCCTCTTCCTCCTCTGTGAAACCTTAAAGTGTTGGCGTGACTCAGAGGTCAGTTCCATGGTCACCTACTCAACTCTGTGTACACTCCTTGCCTAGATAACCTCATCTTGCCTCATGGTTTTAAATACGTCTATATACCTATGACCCCCAAATGTGTATCTTCAGCCCTGATCTCTTCACCAAGCTCTAAACTCATACAGCAAACCATCTGCCTGACTTCTCTATGTAGGCATCAAATGGCCATTGCAGATATTACGTGGCTGAAATGGAAAACTGGCCTCCTCTCTCCTGCCCCTACTGCTCCCTGAGTTTTCTCCAATCTTATAAACAACACCATCATCCAACCAATGGCTGAAGCAAAAAGACCATGAGTCTCTCTCTCTCTCTCCTCTTTCCCTCATTCTCCACATCAACAAGTCCTTTTGGCTTTACCCCCAAAGTATATTCTGAATTCATCCACTCTTCTCTATCCTACCTCCTCCCTGAGCTCAAGCTAGTTTCCCGTCTTGCCTAGACTCCGGCGACAACTTCCTTTTTTCTACTCATTTGCTCGGGGATGACCATTTAGTTTGTTACTTTTTTTTTCTCTCTTATGATAATGCTGTAATAACCTCCTCACACATCTCTGTGTATGTATGAGAGCTTCTCTGAGACAATTCCCCTTGATGGGAAGGAATTTCTGCATCATAGAATACACACATTTTCCAATTTACCAAGGACTGTCAATTTGTTCTCAAAAGTGCCTGGCAGCTTGGAATAATTCTTATTTCACTCTATTGTCCACAGCCTTTGACATTCACTGGCTTTAAACTTTCACAGCTTTAGTAGATGACAAGGAGAACCTTTCATTTCTCTAATTAGTGGAGAGATGTGAGCACTGCTTTCTTCTTTTGCTATGCATGAGCCTTAACGATTGCTCTATTGAGGCTACTTATCATTGTCTAATTGAGCCAAGGCTCTTTTATCAACATTCTGAATACTGATGTTTTACTCTACAAATGCTGCAAATATCTACTCCCTGTCGATTGTTTTTTAGGGTTGTTCACAGTTGTGTGGCTTTTTATCATATGCATGTTTCAAATGTATTGTTGTCAAGTACAGGAATTTTTAAAACTTTTAGATTCAGGCGTCCATGTGCTGGTTTGTTGTATAAGTAAGTTGCATGTCGCAGGGGTTTGGTGTACTGAGGATTTCATCACCCAGGTAATAAGCATAGTACCCAAAAGGTACTTTTCAATTGCTTTTGGATCGTTTGTGCTTACTGGGCCATACTTAACAGTCCTTAGCCTTCCTGAGATCAGCAAGTTGTTAGTTGTTTCACTCTGTGTTCTTCTAATCATCATAAAATTTTACTTCCCATGACCAGGTGTTTGCTGCTACTCCTTCTCTCTTCCTCCTCCTCCTCCTCTTCTTCTTTTTTTCTTTTTTGAGATGGAGTCTCTCTCTGTCGCCAGGCTGGAGTGCAGTGGTGCGATCGCGGCTCACTGCAACCTCCGCCTCCCAGGTTCAAGCGATTCTTCTGTCTCAGCCTCCAGAGTAGCTGGGACTACAGGCATGCACCACTGCACCAAACTAAGTTTTTTTTTGTATTCTTAGTAGAGATGGGGTTTCACCATGTTGGCCAGGATGGTCTTGATCTCTTGACCTTGCAATCCACCTGCAAGGGCTGGGATTACAGGTGTGAGCCACCGTGCCTGGCCCTCTTCTTCATCTGAGACAGAGTCACTCTCTGTTGTGGAGTGTAGGGACAAGATCATGTTTCACTGCAGCCTCAACTTCCTTTTTTTTTTGAGACGGAATCTCTCTCTGTTGCCAGGCTAGAGTGCAGTGGTGTGATCTCAGCTCACTGCAACCTCCGTTTCCCAGGTTCAAGTGATCCTCCTGCCTCAGCCCTCTGAGTAACTGGAACTACAGGTGCCCATCACCACACCTGGCTAATTGTTTGATATTTTATAGAGACAGGGGTCTCCCTATGTTGCTCAGGTTGGTCTTGAACTCCTGGTCTCAAGTGATCCTCCTGCCTCAGGTTCCCAAAGTTCTGGCATTACCAGTATGAGCCACTGCACCCAACTGATTCTGAATGTATTCTGGACATGGTTTACAACACTTTTATACTCACAACATTGAAAAATAATGTTAAAAAGGGAGATTCAGCTCTGCCAGTAATCCTCCCCCATCCCTCCCATTTGCTGTCCCTTCCCTCCAGGGAGACTTACCCAGCATCTGTCCCAGGTGCTCCCCTCCTACATCAGAGAATTGATTGTGGCTGAGATCCAGCTTCTTAATTCGGTAATTGCTCTACAGAAACAAACAGGGGAAAGAGAAGGATTTTTTGTCTTCTGATTGCAAATATCTTACTTATTGGAGGACAGTATGATGGGGGCGCCAATGTACAGAAAATTAGGTGAAGACAATGTCTTAGGCATTTTTCGTTTGGCTGTTGATGTTTGCTGGGAGAACTTAGTGCCATATAAACAACTCTACTGTTTGCTGTGGCTTTTGCTGGGGTTGGCAGGGTCTAAACACTCCCTTGTCCCTAACATGTGTGAGTAGCCTCACGTCACTGTGCCCATAGCAGCCCCAGATTGCCCAGATCTCCCAGGGACATCACCCACGTGGCTTGGCTGCACTCCCTGCCTCTTACCGACAGGACTTGGCAGAACAGTGCTGCAGATTCTTCCTCGAAGTCATTTCCTGTAGTGAGGGTGGTGTGTCAGCAGTGCACCGCTAGACCATGACTCCCCTCCTCTCCCACCCCCTACCCCTCCCAGTCCACTTCTGTTTAGAACAATCAGACATGGAAAAGGTGGCAGGGGCCAGACGCAATGGCTCATGCCTGTGATCACAGCACTTTGGGAGGCCGAGGTGGGAGGATCGCTTGAGCCCAGGAATTTACAACCAGCCTGGGCAACATAGGGAGCGCCTGTCTCTACAGAGCTGATTGTAAGATAATTATTTGTGAAATTTGATAAAATACAGATTCCCAGATTTCTCCTGCTAAAGAGTCTGATTTCAGCAGTCTGGGATAGGACTGGGGGATTTGTATTTTTACAAAGAGCTTTCTGTACTATGTTAACACATTATGTTAGGGGTCTTAGCCAATACAACCAGAAAAATAACTAGGAGCTATAAATATCGGAAAAGAAGAGATAAAACTTTCATTATTTGCAGATATGATCACCTATCTAAATAATTCTATAAAACTAACAAAATGTTAGAACTTATAAGATAATTTAATAAGGTAAGTGGATACAGACTCAATGGACAAAAATTAATAGCTTTCAGACATATCAGTAATAACCCATTAGAAAATATGATAGAAAAACATTCTGTTCACATAAGATAAAATAATGGAAGACCTAGAAATAAACCTAATATAAATAATGCAAGGCTTATAATAGAAGAAAATAAGACTTTACCCAAGAACATAAAAAGGCCTGGAGGAATAGAGATAAACCATGTTCATAAATGAGGAGACTCAATATTGTGACTATGTCGGTTCTTTCATAAATTAACCTAGAATAGTAAATGGAAAACCCCAACCAAAACCCCAACAGCTGTTTTATCTTTTCTTCTTTTTCTTAAATAGAACTTGAAAGAATGATTCTACAGTTCACCTGGGGGAGAAACTGTACAAGCATAGCCACGATTACTAACAACACTAATAGCCAAAATTGCAGAATCACTTTGCAAAAAAAGATTCAAGATTACTTTGGAAAAAAAGGGGTAGTCTTTGCCCATTCACATACAAAACATACTTATTGGCTGGGCGCAGTGGCTCATGCCTGTAATCCCAGCACTTTGGGAGGCCGAGGCAGGTGGATCACTTGAGGTCAGGAGGTCAAGACCAGCCTGGCTAACATGATGAAACCCTGTTTCTACTAAAAATACAAAAATTAGCTGGGCATGGCAGTGGGCACCTGCAATCCCAGCTATTTGGGAAGCTGAGGCAGGAGAATCGCTTGAACCCAGGAGGCAGAGATTGTAATGAGCTGAGATGGTGGCGCTGCATTCTACCCTGGGCAACAGAGGGAGATTCCATCTCAAAAACAAACAAACAAACAAAAATATTTATTATAAGATTTTATAACATATATTAACTTGTACATAATCAGTTTTTGTATTAGTCACAACATCTTATGTAGTAATAATTTTAATATTGTAAACAAATATTAAAACAATGCAATGTTGACATAGAAATATATAAATAGATTAATGAAAGAGAATCTGGAAGGAAACCTATATTTATAATGGGAGTTTAATACATGATAAAGATGACATTTCAAATTAGTCAGAAAAGGATGAATTATTCCATTGATGATGCTGAAGCACCTGGCTGTCAGTTTTGGAAATAAAACATTTGATGTCTACCTCATGCCAGGTACAAAAAAGTATTAGATATATTAGAGACCTAAGAGTTAAAAAAAAATGGAAGAAAATAAAGGAAAATATTTTGACCTAACTTTTTTTTTCTTTTTCTTTTTTACAGATGGGGTCTCACTATGTTGCCCAGGGGGCCAGTCCTGGGCTCAAGCAATTCTCCCACCCAGCCTCCTGAGTAGATGGGACTATCAGTGCATGCCGCCATTCCTGGTTCAGGAAAATATTTGTATAAACTTTAGGAAAGAGTTTTAAAGCAAGGCTGCAAAAATTAAATCCATAAAGTGAAAAGACTATAAAACTTGACATCAATAAAAGACACAAACTTTGACACAAGAAAGTACCATAAACAAAGCAAGGCCAGGCACAGTGGCTGACACCCATAATCCCAGCACTTTGGGAGGCTGAGGCAGGTGGATCACCTGAGGTTAGGAGTTTGTTACCAGCCTGACCAATATGGAGGAACCCCATATCTACTAAAAATACAAAAAAATTAGTTGGGCATGGTGGTGCGTGCCGGTAATCCCAGCTACTCGGGAGGCTGAGGCAGGAGAATCGCTTGAACCCGGGAGGCAGAGGTTGCAGTGAGCCGAGATTGCACAACTGCACTCCAGCCTGGGCTACAGAGCAATACTCCATCTCAAACAAAACAGAACAAAATAAAAACAAACAAAAAACATTACTTGAAAGCAAAATTGGAAATGAAATTAATCCTCCTTCCCCCAAATAGTGGGGTGTTAAATAAACTATATTATGTCCATGACTCAGAATACTAGCCAGCCGTTCAAGGGAACTAGATAAATCTATTTGTTCTGCCATAGAAAGAAATCCAAGATATATTTAGCAGGAAACAAGGGAAATTGGAGAATAATACCTGACATGTAACAATATTTATGTTAAAAATACATGAACTAAGGCCAGGCACCATGGCTTATGCCTATAATCCCAGCACTTTGGGAGGCTGAGGCGGGAGGATTGCTGGAGCCCAAGAGTGTGAGACTAGTCTGGGCAACATAGCAAGACCACATCTCTATAAAGAAAATACACAAACTTTATTTCTGTATTTTTTTCCTTTTTTTTTTTTTTTTTTTGAGACGGAGTTTCGCTCTTGTTACCCAGGCTGGAGTGCAATGGCGCGATCTCGGCTCACTGCAACCTCCGCCTCCTGGGTTCAGGCAATTCTCCTGCCTCAGCCTCCTGAGTAGCTGGGATTACAGGCACGCGCCACCATGCCCAGCTAATTTTTTGTATTTTTAGTAGAGACGGGGTTTCACCATGTTGACCAGGATGGTCTCGATTTCTTGACCTCGTGATTCACCCGCCTCGGCCTCCCAAAGTGCTGGGATTACAGGCGTGAGCCACCGCGCCCGGCTCTGTATTTTTTTCTAGACACTTTACAGATCTCTGTATCTTAAGTGTTTTTTAGAGATATGCTCAAGTATAGATTCCTTTTTATATACCTTTCTTAGGAGTTACTAGGATTCCTGTATCTGCAAATTTATCAATTCAGGGAACACGTTAGCTGTTATTTGTTCAAATATTGCTGCTCATTCATTTCTTTTCCTTCTGGAAACTACTCATTCTACTCATTCTTTTATATTCTTTTATCTTTTATATTCTCTATGTCTTTGTCTTTCTATGCTGTAAAGATAGATAAAATATGTTTTTCACTAATTCTATTCACCGTAATTAATGTGCCATTGAATTTATTTGTTGAGGCTTTAATATCAGTGACTATACATTTTTTGTTGTAAGAAACTCTTGGTGCCGGGCGCGGTGGCTCAAGCCTGTAATCCCAGCACTTCGGGAGGCCGAGGCGGGTGGATCACGAGGTCAAGAGATCGAGACCATCCTGGTCAACATGGTGAAACCCCGTCTCTACTAAAAATACAAAACATTACCTGGACATGGTGGCACGTGCCTGTAATCCCAGCTACTCAGGAGGTTGAGGCAGGAGAATTGCGTGAACCCAGGAGGTGGAGGTTGCGGTGAGCCGAGATCGCACCATTGCACTCCAGCCTGGGTAACAAGAGCAAAACTCCGTCTCAAAAAAAAAAAAAAAAAAAAAAAAAACTCTTGGTGAGGGAAGGAGGAGAGGTCTTTTTTTTTCTTTTAAAAAAGTGATTTGTTCTTTTATGATTTTATTTATTTTATGTTCTTAATCATATTAAACATAGTTTATAATTGGGTGCAAGGTATCTCAATTTGCTTGTGGTTCCAGTTAATTAATAGTGCCCCTATTCAGTTTGCATGGTAAAGTATATGATAAATTATTGTGTATATATCATCTGAATCATCAGATATGGTGGAGGGGGTTAGGGGAGTGTGACTGGGAGGGTTTAGCAGGCATAGATGCAGTCTTTGGTCTCCAAGACTAGAAAGACATGGTCTGGTTAGCCAGAAGTTGAATTCTCTGTTTTCCCCTCTTCCCTCCCTCTGAGTCCCAGTATCCTCTCCCTCCCTTTCCACGTGCTCACCTGAAAGCTCAAGGCTCCAGACGGAAGAAGTATTTGTCTCGAGGAAATCTGAGATGATTCTGGCCCCCTCCAAACCAAGCTGATTGTTGGAAATATTCTAAAAGGCAAGAAAACACTTCGGTATGTAAAAAACCTCACCAAAGGGCCCTCAGGAACAAATGATGTCTTTTGTGGTTTACTTGAGTCCTGTGTCGAGGGAGCAGCGTTGGGGTGGGAAAGGATTAGAAGGATTCGGGTGGTGCCAAGGACCAAGAGAAGGGCGACAGGAAACCAGGCTCTAGCCCCGGCTTTCCCAGTGCCTCACTGTGGGACCCGTGAGATGGCTGGTCTCAGCTTTTTGAAGCTGGCTTCAAGGACTCCCCACTTTCCCAGTTTAGCCCTGGTGCTTCAGATAAGCACATTATTATTTTTTCTTTGTATGGAAACCCCAAACAGCTTCATGTAGAGAGCTTGGCAGTGAAACAGTGAAAAATGCGTTTAGAGTGCATAATCATTGTAAATTCCACTCCTTGATTTGGGAAGTATGGCTTGTCCTTTAAGCTAGTGGGAGCGACTTTATATAGTGGCCATTATTGTCTTAATTGGTTGTTTCCCCCTTTCCTTTGGACATCCTTTTATGATGGTAAACTACACATAACATACAATTTACCATCATCGCCGTTTCTCAGTGTTCAGTGCTGCGGCATCAGCACGTTCACATCGTGCACTCATCACCATCAGCCATCGCAAGGCACATTGTCTTTATGAAATTATTTCATGTCTTTATTTTCTTTAAGGAAGTTCACTTTAAAGCAACTACGAAGAGGTACATTTATCTTTTTTTTTTTTTTTTTTTTGAGACAGAGCCTCACTCTGTCACCCAGGCTGGAGTACAGTGGTGTGATCTCAGCTCATGGCAACCTCCATCCTACAGGGTTCAAGTGTTTCTCCTGCCCCCGCCTCCCAAGTAGCTGGGATCACAGGTGCTCAACACCATGCATAGCTAATTTTTTATATTTTTAGTGAGCCATTACAGGCGTGAGCCACCATGCCTGGCCACATTTATCAATTTAAGGGCTTCTAAGGTCCAGACAGAAATACTTTTTTTTTTTTTTTGAATCTTGCTCTTGTTGTCCAGGCTGGAGTGCAGTGGTGCAATCTTGGCTCACTGCAGCCTCTGCCTCCTGTGTTCAAGCAATTCTCCTGCCTCAGTCTCCTGAGTAGCTGGGATTACAGTTGCACACCACCACGCCCGGCTAACTTTTGTACTTTTAGTAGTGACAGGGTTTGGCCATGTTGGCCAGGCTGATCGCAAACTCCTAACTTCAGGTGATCCACCCTCCTCGGCCTCCCAAAGTGCTAGGATTACAGGCGTGAGCTACCGTGCCCAGCCAGAAATAGTTTCTTAGGATTTTCTACAGCTGTAGGAAACACAGCCTCTCACATGTGGCCCTCCTCCAACAAGTCATGTAGGGAGGGCAGGGGCCTGGAGGCAGCCTGGGTCCTGGCAGGGCCTCTGGCTTGTCCCCAGTGGGTTGTGAGCCCCCAGGGGTGATGGCAGGAGCCAGCGCAGGGGGGCACGGTACCATCTCCTGGAGGTAGTAGTTCTCTTGTAGCATCTCCACCAGGCTCAAGATGCCCTCCTCCGTGATGCCGTTATCTTCCAGCTCCAGTTTGGTAACAGTCGTGTTGGACTTCAGCCAGCACAGAGGGAGGGGGAGAGACACAGAAGGGGTTGGTGACCAAGTCCGTTCCCTGCTCGCCTTGGGCCAGCCAGGTAAGTGGGTGCAGAGATGCAGACTAGGAATTCCGAGGGTGTGGCAAGGGCGAGGAGACCAGCACAGGGGCCGAGCCAGCCGGGGAGTTTTGCTAGGACAATACGCTTACTCTGGGAGAATTTAGAAAAGGATCCTGAAAGCAAATGAAAACCCTGACAAGTCAGAGGCACAAGGATGAGCTAAACAGATTTTAACTAAGCCCCAAGGAGAGATGACTGTGACCTACTCTAAGATTAAGGAAAACTTGATACATTGAATAAGGATATTTAAACATAAAGATTCTTGCCAGGAGGTCCTTTAAAGCATTGCTTTTGCTTTCTTAAGGCCTTTCTTCTAATTTAGGCTTAAGTCTTATCTGGTACACTCCTTTAAATTTTTCTTTATTTCTTTATTATTGTTTTTTGAGATGGGGTCTATGTTGCCCAGGCTGATCTCCAACTCCTGGGCTCAAGGGCTCTCCTGCCTTAGCCTCCCGGGTAGCTGGGATTACAGGTGTGAGCAACCGCACCTGGCTCTGGTACTGTCTTTAATAGGAGGTGGACTCAAGGCTGTTTGGAAGGAATTGGACACAAATTTTGGTGAATATCTAGAGCCAAGATAGTCTGCATTTTTTTTTTTTTTTTTTGAGATGGAGTCTTGCTCTGTCACCCAGGTTGGAGTGCAGTGGCACAATCTTGGCTCACGGCAACCTCTGCTTCCTGGGTTCAAGCAATCCTCCCTGCCTCAGCCTCCCAAGTAGCTGGGCTTAACAGGCACCCACGACCATGCCCTACTAATTTTTGTATTCTTTTTAGTAGAGACAGGATTTTGCCATGTTTGCCAGGCTGGTGATCCGCTCGCCTTGGCCCCCCAAAGTGCTGGGATTATAGGCGTGAGCCACCGTGCCCAGCCGCTAGTCTGCATTTCTACAGGGAACAAGAGGAGAGGAAAGGACTCGCATTGGAGCACGAAGGACTGGGGTTAAGCTCTAATCAGAACTTTGATCTTGCCTTCCCCACCTTGTTCCCAGTATACACAGGGACAGAGAACAGACACAGGTTTGGATTTGAGCATTTTCAAGGCCCAGTAAGGAGCAAGAGAAGTAGCAAGTGGAAGGAGTGTTAATGCTGGTCCTCCCCAACCCTCTCCTCCGATAAAGGAAAGTGTGATAGTCCCAGCTATGGCAATGCAGGATGATTCACCCCGGGGCTTCCTGGAATGTTTTCTGGTCTCAGCTCTCTGGGTTGGGCAAAATTCAATTGCCTTGAGTTGTACTCAAAGGTGAGAGAGATGGCTCAGGGGGCCTCCCAGTCTGAGTGCTATTTAGCAGTGTCTAGAAACATCAGTTGAATCATCACTGCCAAAGTCATATTGGGGACCAGCACATTCTAGAGTGAAACAGGAGGCCCAGTCCCCAATTCCATCCACATTTATTCCACACGGGCCGGTGTCTATTTGTCATTCTCTGTGTTCACTGCTGGGGAAACAAGAATTAACAGAGAACATTTCTACTCCCACCCCACCTGCTGCCCCCAAGTGCAAGGGCACAGTGCTAGGTGGTCGAGGGATGCAGGCAAGGATGAAACAAACACGAAACCTGCTATCAGAGTGCTCCTAATCTAAGCCAGGGAAACACAACCATGTGAAAAGCTAATCAGTACAGAGAGCAAATAGAAGTTCAGTCCCCCAGAATGTCACAATGATTAATTGTCAAATGAATGATGCAGAGAATGAAGGAAGAAGAAACTCTCCACAAACAGAAATTGCTGTTACTAAGAAACAAGTGGTCCAAGTCCTGAGAGGATTTCATTATCATCCCTGTTTTTCCCACGAAGCTCATGAGGTAATGGTGCGTTCCTAACACTTCATTAGTCAGCCTTTCCACTTTCAATAAATCTCAAGATGGCTTTGTTCTTTCCCCACTCCTTCCTTCCCATCCTCAGAAAACAGTGCAAGCTCACATTTCATGTAACTTCTTAAAGGGCATATGCCAAATGCAAATGTTGTTATATTTTTAAGAAAGAATGAGTGTGTTGGGGAAGGTGAGGAAAAATAAGACCATGTATTCTAGGAATACACTGTTCAATGCCAACAGGGGCTAGGCACTCAAAATGAACAGCATGCAAGCGTATCCCTCTTACATTCTAACAATGATTACAGTCGTCTACCCTTATCCTTGGGGGAAAACATCAAGACCATTGGTCAATGCCTAATACCAAAGATAGTACCAAACCCAAAATATACTAGGTTTTGGTCCTATACATACTTACCTATGATAATTTTGATTTATAAATTAGGCACAATAAGAGGTCAACAATAACTAATAATAAAATAGAACACCTATGATAATATGCTATCATAAAAGTTATGTTGCCCAGGCATAGTGGCTCATGCCTGTAATCCCAGCACTTCAGGAGGCCAAGGCGGGGGGATCACTTGAGGCCAGGAGTTCAAGACCAGCCTCACCAACATAGTAAAATCATGCCTCTACTAAAAAAACAAAAAATTAGCTGGATGTGGTGGCACGTGCCGGTAATCCCAGCTCCTTGGGAGGCTGAGGCAGGAGAATCGCTTGAACTGGGAGGCTCACACCTGTAATCCCAGCACTTTGAGAAGCCAAGGCGGGAGAATCTCTTGAGGCCAGGAGTTTGAGACCAGCCTAGCCAACATAGTGAAACCCCATCTCTACTAAAAATACAAACAATTAGCCAGGTGTGGTGGTGCATGCCTGTAATCCCAGCTACTTGGGAGGCTGAGGCAGGAGAATTTTTCCTCGCCTTCACCAACACACTCATTCTTTCTTAAAAATATAACAGCATTTGCGTTTAGCATATGCCCTTTAAGAAGTTACATGAAATGTGATATTGCACTGCTTTCTGGGGATGGGAAGGAAGGTACAGAATGGTAGAGACAGCCAAAGACAAACTGCAGGAAGACTGACTCGGCCATGCTCAATGATGCAGACATCCGAGAGAATGATGAATGAGGAAGGCAATTCTGTGCTTCCATATTTATTCGGTTATGAAATACATGGCGAGCTCCAAAAAGCCTTGAAATACACTGTCATTCTGTAGCTTCTCCTGTCTCTCAGTCACTCATTCTCTATTTAATTCATTGACTCCTTTTCTTCTTTCAGATCCTTTATAAATAATATTTTTAAAGAACTCTTTCTCAGCCTTAAAACTGTCCCCATAAACTTTATAAAATTGACCAGGGAAGAAGGTAGGGGAGAGATGGAAATAAGCCCAGCTTGCAGCATTGATCATGAGGTCAGCTGCTCTCTGGCCCCTTCCTCAGAGTTGTTTGCTGCTTGTTGTCCCAGAATCATAAGATCATAGTTCCTTTTCACTGTTCTACAGATAACATCACAAGCATTGTGAAGTGTTAAGTTTTCCATCTGAGAGGCTGGTAAAACTACTGACATCAGCTGGTCTGAAGGACCCCCAGAGGAGCCGACTCACCAAAGCATGCAGTTACTACGTCCTGATGATTTCATCAGGACCAATGTCCTGACCAATCAATGACCCCAATTTTTCAGCCCCTTGTCCTCTGAGATCCCCTTAAAGACTGTTGGCCAGGCCAGGTGCAGTGGCTCATGCCTGTAATCCCAGCTGTTTGGGATGCTGAGGTGGGTGGATCCCCTGAGCCCAGGAGTTTGAGGCTAGCCTGGGCAACATAGTGAGACTCCTTCTCTACTAAAAATGTAAAAACTAGCTGGGTGCAATGGTGAACAGCTGTGGTCCTAGACACCCAAGAGGCTGAGGCAGGAGGATCACTTAAATTCAGGAGATCAAAGCTGCAGTGAGCCATGATCATGCCACTTAGAATAGAGAGTATAAGAGCTAGGATGCCTCCTAGTTTGTTGGGGATAGATCATAAGATTGCCTATGCAAATAGAAAGTACCATTCTTCTTTGATGTGGGGTGGGGTATTGAGGGGGTTAGCTAACGTGTAATTGTCTGGGTCAGTTAAAAGGTCAGGTGTAAATAAGGTTAGGCTCATTAGGCATAGGAGAAGAAAAATTAGTCTGAGGATGTCTTTAGTTGTGTAGTAGGGGTGAAATGTAATTTTGTTGGGGTCAGATGTCACTCCTGATGGGTTACTTGATCCTGTCTCATGCAGAACAAACAAACAACTCTAGACCAGAACTCCTTAGGGAAATGGATGGAAGGGTTCCTTTCATGTGCTTGCTTGGCCACTCTGTGATCATTAAACTCTTTCTTTGTTGAAAACTCTGCTGTTTCGGTATATTGGTCCTTACTGCACAGCGGCCATATAAACCTGGTGGTCTTGTAAGTCCTCTTTATTTTTCTCTGTTCATTCTTTCCATGGATAATTTAAATATTACTAATTTTAAATGTCACCTCGAAAGACACATCTACCTCTCTACCTTACTAAGCTTTTTCATAATGGAATTTTCTGTTTACTTTTCTAAGTGAACAGTATTGTGCTGACATGCAGTTGTTAGGTCTTCTGTTTTTCTGTGATGGGAGTCGGTTTGTGTGCAAAGCAATTATAATTATAAAAAGTCATGATGAACTCAAGGTCAATTCCTTGTTTGGTTATGCCAAGCTAAGAGATAATACTATTTCTATGGGAAAACTTGATGTACTCTACAGTGTGGTCTTTACGAATCAGAATGTGGCAAAAGGCAGATGTTGAATGGAATGGGTCAGTAGTAAACCCATTTATAGCAAAGGTGAGCTTTACAATGAAGACCCAGGCTGGTATTTTATTGGTGCTCTTACACTGATAATTGGGCCCAGTCACTTTTCATGGGCCCAGCGGCTGGTGCCTTTGTTTCCTGAACAGTAAAGAGTATATAGACTTCTATTTTTTTCTCCCCAGAGTTTCTGAAGGGAGCATAGACTTCTAAGGCCTAGGTCGCTAGCAGCCTCCTACCAGGAGCTAAAGAGGAGTTCATGCCTGTTGGGGAAATCATCTGGCAGCCAAGCAGGGCCCAGGGCAGTGTGGGCATAAAGGTCACTATATAGGCTCCACAGGAGAGGCCCTCTGAATCTTGGGCCTACCGCTGTCCTGCCAACCCTCCACCTCCACCAGGCTTCATGAGCCGCCGCTAGCATGCTTACCACCAGGGCTATAGCAATCGCCTTGGTACCCCTGGGGCCCAGGCCGTGGTGGTTGAGGTTCACGTAGGACTCCTCCATGTTCCGGATGAAGTATGAGACGGGCACTACACCCACCAGTTTGCAGGCCTCCAGGTACAGCTCCTTTTGTCCAGTGGTGAAAAGCTTCTCATTATCTGCAGAGAAAGATGGGCTCTAGTAGGATTTCTCTTCCACCTTTGCCTTCTCTCCCCTCTAGCCCCAGGTGACATTCACTCATGTCTACACCCTCCTCTGCTGGAGGATCTGTCCCTGTGGGTATGTGCTAAGAAGCCAGCTCCAGTCTGAGAAGTCAGTCCATGGTGGGAGAGGGAGACTCTAACTCCAGGAAGCCCCAGATGAATGTCTCTCTTTGGGTAGATGAGGCCCATGGTTTTAGGCCAGAAGCTTTTCTAGAAGTGAGCAGTGTGTTTCACCCCACCTGCCCAGGTTGGCCACATCCAATGACAGGTCATCAAAGACTTAGAAAGGTCCAAACCCTCTTGCCCACCTTTGGACACGTCTGAAAGACCAAAAAGCAGATGACTTCTGATGGTTGATGGAGTCTCCATTTCACTTTTAATTTTGCTACAACTATTAAAAGTTGTGAGTCATGAATAAAGCTTTACCAAAGACTTAGAGAGGCACCAACATTTAAAATCCCAACAGCACTGAGTGAGACTCTGTCCAGTGAATATGGAAAAACCTCCAAATCAGCGAGAAACAAGCCTGCTTGCATGTGAGTGGTCTATCTTCTTTCAAAGGCTAGGATGCCATTTTCCTTATAAAAAGGACTGTCATCCTTGCTTTATGGATGATAAATCTAGCCTCAAACAACACACAGTTGGTGAGTGCTAAAACCAGCTAACAGAAGTAGGGACTGCACCTTTCCATTCTAATCCCTGGGGGCCCTTATTTCTTAGGCTTTAGGCCAGGCTGACCCCGGATTACTGGGCATTGGACCTCCCTGGATTCTGGGTGCCCCACAGCTGTGCCCTCATTAGGCAAGTGCAGCCTATGGCAGGGCTTCCTGGGGCCAGCTGGCGTCTATGTCTGCATCTGTTTTTCCTTCGGATCCCAGGGCCTTTGGCCAACCCCCCCAAACAAGTCTAGGGCTGACAATGGGAGCTTTGTTGGTGAAAGAACAACTGCTTTACTGGGAAGCTGATTTTGTAAGCACAGCTATAAATCAGACTTCTCTTTGGGATGCTTGTTCAGCAGCGTTCTCAACCTCAGCACTGTAGGTATTTCGGGTTGGATAATTCTGTTCTGAGTGCTGTCCTGTACGTTGTAAGGTGTTCAGTAGGATCCCCAGCGTGGGCCCACAAGATGCCAGTAGCAACGCCCCATGTCCTAGTTTGCCCAATGTCTCCTTGGTGCAAAATTGCTTCCAGGTGGGAACCACTGTTGTAGAGAAAAACAGCTCATGTCAAGTGAGCAAACCAGGCTCCTCTCTCCCTCTTTGATAGACTCACAGCCGACACTGCTCCCAGCTGGCCTATTTCCCATGCCCTCCCTGCCTATTCCCAGTGTCTCAGCACCCACTGCAGGGGCACCAGGAGCCAGAGCTGCAGAGCCCAGCATTTCTGTTCAGAACAGGGTTTTTGGTGCCAAATTTAGACATTAGAGGTTCCTGCTGGCCAAAGCAGGGGAGGTAACCCCCAGTTTCGTCCCTGGGACTAATTCCTCTGGGTTTGATGCTGACCCTTTCTAGCTGTGTTCCCTGTGGTTATATTTTATGGGCAGCTTGCAACAGCGTTAGCACTTGCTGTGGTTGGGGGGAAGAGGGAGGGGGAGTGAGACAGAATCGGGACCCTTGGGCCAAACGTCCAGTGTCGTCCTTTGCCACCTTCTCCAACCAGGTGAATGAAGTCGGGTGTTGGAAGCAACATTAGCGACAGGCTTGAAGTGGACAAGAAGCCAGTAAAACAGCAACAAGCTGCCTGGGGGACAGTGGGGAGGAGGTCTGCATAGAGGGGTGAAGTTGTATGTTGTATGTTGACCACGGTGGGGAGGCTTATAAGCTGACTCTATGCAGATGAACTTCACAGTTTAATTTGGCAGAAGGGGCCTTCCTCCTTCTCTTCGGCCTGCCAATCACTGCCCACCAGCCAAGTTGCAAGGCCACAGGAGAGGAAGGGCAACTGTGCTAGCCTTGGCCTGGGAAGCTTGAGGCTGGCCCCTCTGATGGAACCAGTGTCATTCTCCCCTTGCTTCACAAGTGTTCTCTTTTGGTGCTTCCCTTCTCGGGGAAACTGGGAGGAGAGAGAGGGTGGAGGTGATGTTTGCATTCACAGAGTCTTTGTTTCAGCTCTGCCAGTCCCGATACCCAGGCATGCTTCGATTTATCAAGAACAGTAGGGGAAACCAGAGCTCCAAGGTGAGTGTGGGAAAGTCACTGGGATGCAAGATGTGCCACAGAAGTACTGCAGGGGCCTGGAGTATGGAATAGGGCAGGACTCAGAGTGAGTCAGACGTGGGATTGGTCAGCCAACGTGCTGGGCAAACTCCCGCTGTCCCTGGGCCATGCCTATCATCTCTCTAAGGCCCAGTTCCTCTTCTGTTGAAAACGGGCAATGATGCCTACCTCCTAGGATTATTGAAAAAAAATCGCATAGGATGCCCCATGTGGAAATGTTTAGAGGACCAGAAAACCCTGTTTGTATATTGATTTTACCTTTAACAAGCCGACGTGAGGGCACTGCTCTTGAGGCAGGTGACAAGCGTGGGAAGCTGCAGCTGCTATCTCTGGCCAGCCTGGAGAGGGACTCCAGGCAAAATTGAGCACTAGCCTTTCTGCCACATGCCCTCCACAGGCTGTCCACAGGGAGACTCTGGAAAGGAGTGAGATGGCAGCTTCCGAAAACCCAACTTCAGCTTCTGAGGAGAGGCTGCCCTGACTGCCCCCGAATGCCCATGCTCACCTTCAATTTCCAGGTCTGTTTCTGAATTCTCCCGGTCTGGTTTCACTTTTCTGACAGTCTGCGGGACTTCGGCCTCACAGTAGAGCGCTTCATCGCTGCTCTGTGGTGCTGGCTCGGTTGGAGTCTCATCTGGAAGAAAAATGTATCTCCTCAATGCCTGGAATAAAGCCTTCCGCCGCCCTTCCGTCTCTACTCCCTTCCTCAGAGTCCCAGGTCCTCAAGGTGCCAAGCCCTGCCAGGGCAAGTCTGCTCTACAAACCTCCCTTCCCTAATAGCAGTGCCTCGGGCTGCAGGGTCTGCAGGGGCTTGTGAAATTAACTTCCTGCTGCTCCATGGAGACTGGCTGCCTCTGCCCGCTTCCCTTTCTGGGGCCTGCCTTCGAGATTGGCTCCTTGCTCACACTTTCCCCTTCTTAAATGTTTGGGTGGGTTTCAGGGTCTGCTGTTACTCTTTCAGGTGAAAGGGTGGGTCCGATACAGAGGCTTCCTTATTGTCAGGCACAAATGGTGCCAGGGAGTATAAGGGGCAGGGCAGGACAGGGAGGGGCAGGGAAGGGCAGGGCAGGGCAGGTAGCAACTTAGGCCAAATAGAAAATAAAATGGACCAATGGGCCAGGAGCAGTTCCAGAGAACGAGAGAGAGAGAGCTTGATTCCTAAGAATTTGGCTTAGCTTCTCTTCCTTCCAATCTAACACTGATTTTGTGATCAGGAAGAAGGAGGGGCTTGAAAATCTCCCTTGGGTCGAAATGATCTTCTATAATTAAATACATGAGTTCTGATCTGATGAGACATTGGTGAGAGGAGCAAAGCTACCTTCACTCCAGTCCTCTGCACTTGCTAGATGTGGTTTTTTTTCCCACCTCTGGGCCATTGACCTGTGATCAGCCATAGGCTCCTGAAAGCCAAGGGCTTCTGGAAGGCACACCTAAAATCCAGAGCCCAATCCTCGGGCATCAGCAGGACTCAACAGTTTCAAGAAGTCATGCCACGCCTCTGGATGACCTACCAGAACTTAGCCAACCTACTCACTGGGTGATTGGGTGGGCTGAGCATCTGTGGCAGGGATCCCAAGTTTTGACTACCCAGATTCTAGGATGGTGGGGTTCCTAATGAGTCCAGGTAGGCCTTTCTTAGTCCTTCTCCATAGACCCAGGTCCCAACATTAATCTCCCAGCCGGTCTGTGGGATATACAGTGCAGGTAGCAGTGGCCTGGTAGTTAGAAGACAGACAGCAGCTTGGCTGCCAGACTGCTGAGTGCCCTTAGAAAAGTGATGAATTTCTGAGTCTTAATTTCCTTGTCAAACAATTTAGAATTCCATTCAACCAGTAGAATGCTGGTAAATATTTAACAACTGATTCTCTGGGAAAAAAAAACAACAATAAACAACACCAAAAGCATCCTGATTCATAGTGTTAGCCAATTCATGTGGTGTAAATCTTCCCAATGTGGCTGATTTCAAACTATAAATACGATATCAACCAGCCCATTTAAAAATTAAAGCTGGCTAGAGCCAATGTAGCTAGTTCTAGCACAGCACTGCAGCCAACTCTTCCTGTTTGCTAAGCTCTGAACCTAAGTCAATGTCACACATCATCCCACTTCTAGAGGGTCCCAGGTGAGGAAAGAAGTGGGCTTCAGGGTCCTGTGATCTCTAGGTGTTGTACTGAGGCAGCGGGGATAGGCCTGAGTGGAGAGGTGGGATGCCCTTTCACCTTCTGTCTCAGGCTGAAGAGATTTGTCATCGTCCATAGTGCCAGGACCCTCTTGAGGGCAACTCAACTTCTTGCCACCTCTTGACTGCTTCCCCAAGAAGCACACCTGTCCATTCACCTCTGTCTCAAACTTTGTGTACTTCCCTCACGTGGGCACACCCTAGGGGAGCCTGCAGTTATTCTTCCCTCTCAGCAAGCCCTGGGAAGAGTGGGCTTTGGTGGGAATGGGATGCGCATGAATTTGACCCCAACTCTGTCTGGGAGAGGTGGCTCTTTCTCCAGCTCATCTGGGAGAGTGGGACTGCTCTATTGCTGGGAGCCCTGTGGAAAAGATGCCCACCCACCTGCGGCTTTGTGACTTAGGAGCCACTTTCATTTCATCTTCAACATTCCGTGAGCTCATGCAGTCATTGTGATTCACATGGTAGACCTGGCAACAGCAGGCCTCCCACCCTCTGGGTGGTTCTGGCAGGCACCTGTTCTCATATGTTCACTGGGGCCAAGCCCAGGCTTAGCTGTGAGTGCTCAGGTGCTGTGGAGGGGCCTCTGAGTGGTGGTGTATTTCCCTCTGAGTCAGGACCCAACCAAAGCCCCTTAATTAGGTGACTGTGAAGAGCTGCCACCATGTTCTTCTCACAAGATAGCTGTGCTTCAGGTACGAAGTATTTCAGTGATGGGTGAAGTCAGTTTTCTTCTGCCCAGCTCTTCTTCCTTTTTTCTTTTCCCTGTGGGACAGCATCTCAACCTTGGAGCCGAAGATCAAAAGCAAAGCACAACGAACATATGTCCTATCACTACAGTTTGTCGCAGCCAGAGCATCGTTCAATCCAAACTACGGGGCTGCTTACCTTGAGACCGTTCAACCAGCATTCCCACACTCGGCCGTTCTCACCTGTCTTGGAGTTGAAGTCCACTTGCAGTTTGGTGTCAGGAGAATCTGGAGGTGCATTTGTTCTTTCTTGGTAAGTTTTCAGGACATCAACAGTTAGGTCAGTGACTGGAGGGCTTGGGGATGTGAAAATGCCTTTTCTTTTTCTTGCTACTCAGAATGAGGAAGATCTAGAAATTTGTGCAAGGAAAACATGATTAGAACCATGAATCAAAAGAAATATGGATGCCTGAGATGTTACTTATTCCTTCAAGCATTCATGCTGAGAAATACTTATTGAGTCTCTATTATTTATGGACTCTAAAATAGGCACCGCTGTGGGGAGGAGATGCAGACATGATTAAGACAGGACCCTGTGGCTGGGCGTGGTGGCTCACGCCCATAATCCCAGCACTTTGGGAGGACAAGGCGGTCGGATCACAAGGTCAAGAGATTGAGACTATCCTGGCCAACATGGTGAAATCCCATCTCTACTAAAAATACAAAAATTAGCAGGGAGTGGTGGCACACACCTGTAGTCCCAGTTCCTCGGGAGGCTGAGGCAGGAGAATGGCTTGAACCTGGGAGGCATAACTTGCAGTGAGCCGAGGTCGTGCCACAGCATTCCAGCCTGGCAAGAGTGAGGCTCCATCTCAAATAAATAAATAAATAAATAAGACAGGACCCTTTCAAGGCATGTGCAATGCATGATAGAAATTGACAAGGTCACCCTAAGGTGAGGGTCCTTGGCAAATATTTTTGCAGAGTTCTTGCTCATATAAACAATTTCAATCACCCTAAATCAGCGTGGCAGCACCATTCTGGTGGCCCAACCTCATGTGGTCCTTCTAAAGAAATAGCAAACAGGCCAGGGAGAGTGATCGGCTCCTAGGATGATCAGGTAGACATGAGTCCTGGTGATCCAGAGGGCATGTGGCTGGCCCACACTATTGCAGAGGATAAGGAAGCATTAAGGGGAGAAAGAGGGATCAGAGAGTCTGTGTGACCTGGTTTAGGGTTCCGGGTGCCCTACTTGGACAGCACCATCTGGTCTCAGGTACTAATGGGTGAGTGAGAAAATCCAGAGGTAGATACTCAAACTAAGCCACTGGACAGAGGCACCACCAGCCTGCGTCTAACAGCAGCAGGGAAATGGGGAAGGGTCTTTGGGGAAAATGCGCTGAGAATTCAGGGGAGGGTAAGGTTTCTTCACACTGGGAACTTTCATGGGCTCTGGACAAATAGGGTCTGGGGAAAAGGCATTTCGAGGAGGTCAGGATGAAGGAAGCAGCAGATTCCTGGATGGGAGTACAGGCTGTGAAGAGAAGCAGCGAAAGGGGAGGCCACCAGGGCCAGGGCAGTTTCAGGGAGAGATCCAAATGCAATTAAAAGGCAAAAGGGAGACATTGAAGATATTTGAACAGGAGAGTGATATCATCAGAAATTTTCTTTAGAATGATGGACAGCAATATTTTTTGCATAATAGTCATTTCTGGAAAAAATAAAAATGTTTAAGAACCGTAATTTTAAAAGTATGTATCTTTTAAAATTCCTGAAATGTAATACCTGTAACTTCTTTTTATAAGTTATTTTTCAGAATTTCTGTATTATTAGAGGGTATCTTTTTTTTTTTAATTGAGATGGAGTCTTGTTCTGTTGCCCAGGCTGGAGTGCAGTGGAGCAATCTCGGTTTACTGTAACCTCCGCCCCCTGGTCCAGGTGATTCTCCTGCCTCAGCCTCCTGAGTAGCTAGGATTACAGGCATGAACCACCACACCCAGCTAATTTTTTGATTTTTAGTAGAGATGGGGGTTTCACCATGTTGGCCAGGCTGGTCTCAAACTCCTGACCACAAATCATCTGCCTACCCTGGCCTCCCAAATTGTTGGGATTACAGGCATGAGCCACTGTGCTGGCCAAGGGTATCTTTTCTTTTCTTTTTTTTTTTTTTAGACAGAGTCTTGCTCTGTCTGTTGCCCTGGCTGGAGTGCAGTGGCACTATCTTGGCTCACTGCAACCTTTGCCTCCCAGGTTCAAGCAATTCTTCTGCCTCAGCCACCTGAATAGCTGGGATTACAGGCACGTACCACCACACCCAGCTAATTTTTTGTATTTTTAGTAGAGACAGGGTTTCACCATATTGGCCAGGCTGGTCTCAAACTGTTGACCTCACGTGATCTGCCAGCCTCCGCCTTCCAAAGTGTTAGGATTATAGGCATGAGCCACTGTGCTCACATTTTAAAAATTAGCCTTTTAATTTTGCAATAATTTTAGATAACAGAAGTGACAAATACAACAGAGTTCACATTTACTCTTCACTCAGCTTCGCCTTATGTTAACATCTTATATAACCATAGAAAAATGATCAAAGCTAAATTAATATCAATACAATGCTATTAATTAAACTATAGCCTGTATTTGTATTTTCCTAGTTTTCCCATTAATGTCCTTGCCAGGATGCCATATTACATTAGTTATTGTTGTTCTGTTGATCTCTTCCAACCTGTGACATTTTCTGTCTTTCTTTTGTCTTTCATGACCTTGGCGCTTTCAAAGAGTATTGGTCAGATATTTAGAACATCCCCAGTTTTGGTTTGGCTGATGTTTTTGTCATGATTATTGGGAAGCGTGCCACATAGCTGATGTGCCCTTCTTGGTGTGTGTCAGCAGTACATGATGTCAAGATGTATTATATTGGTCACTTGGTCAAGGTGGTATCTGCCAGCTTTTGCTACAGTAAAGTTGCTATTTTTCTTTTTATACACAATACAGACTTAGATACTTTAAGACTCTGCAAATATCCTCTTTCTGCTTACATTTTTGCCCACTAATGTTAGCATCCATCAGTGGATCGTGTTGGGAGCAGGTCGTGACGTGTGTGTGACGGAGTATATGTTATTTGCTGAGAGGCAATGGCAAGAACACCATGCCATCCCCAGGCAGAAAACTGCTAGAATATTAGGCAATATGTACCAGGCATGCACTAGTTAAACCGGCTCCCAAAACACAGGATACATGACCTTGTCCCCATTGCTGACTCGCAAAGAGTGCTGTCTAGCTTATTTATACTTTAGTAGTGAACAGCCACTATCTGCCTGTTTAGTCTATCTTTATTCTATGAAGAAACACTGGGTACCTGCTAATTAGAAATAATCACTCATTCACAAAGAATAAATATGTGGGTCAGAGTCTGCTTTGGGCTTTCAGCTGGGTAATGCTGTCAGTCCCTTGATGGTTCCACTCTGATCCCACTTTTGCACTGTATGTGTTCCTGTTTCTTAATTCCTTCACCGCCGCCTCAGTTGGGGTCTCTACGACTGAGCTGGTCTTGGTAGAGTCATGCTCAACAATTAACTATGGTGTTCTCCCAGTGATTTTCTCTGTTCGCAATCCTTCTACATTTATGGACTGGAATTTTTCTACAGGAGTTGCCCCTCTCTGCCACTTATTTGTTTATTCAGTTGTTTATATCTATAGGGACTCAGGTTTATTTTATTCCTTGGCTTACAATACAATGCTATCATTTCTTTTACTGTTCAACTTCCAACTTTGGCCATTGGGACTTCATTCAGGTGGGCTCTTATGCCTTTTTGGCATCTCCCTGCCCCATTTTTTGAGTCCTTCCTTACTCTCTGGCTCCACAGAAATTACTTTTCTGGCTGGGCATGGTGGTGCACGCCTGTAATCCCACCACTTTGGGAGGCTAAGGTGGGCGGATCACCTGAGGTCAGGAGTTCGAGACCAGCTTGGCCAACATGGAGAACGCTTATTTTACTAAAAATACAAAAAATTAGCCGGGTGGCAGATACCACCTTGACCAAGTGACCAATATAATACATCTTGACATCATGTACTGCTGACACACACCAAGAAGGGTACATCAGCTATGTGGCACACTTCCCAATAATCATGACAAAAATATCAGCCAAACCAAAACTAGGGACATTCTAAATATCTGATCAATACTCTTTGAAAGTGTCAAGGTTATGAAAGACAAAAGAAAGATTCAGGAAATGTCACAGGTTGGAGGAGATTAACAGAGCCACAATAACTAATTAGCCAGGTACGGTGGCGTGTGCCTGTAGTCCCAGCTACTCGGGAGACTGAGGCACAAGAATCACTTGAAACCGGGAGGCAGAGGTTGCAATAAGCAGAGATTTCTCCACTGCACTCCAGCCTGGGCCAGAGTGAGACTTTGTCTCAAGAAAAAAAAAAAAAATTACTTTTCCAAGGAGAATTTTGGAAACCTAGATCTGAGAGCTATATGCTCATCACCATGTGGGTGTCACTGCTTCTAGTCTTTTTGGTGAACAGAGTTAGGAAATACATAGGCGTGCATATAAATTAACCCATCCGTAACACACATTTA